AAGTGGGCGGGTCTAGTGATGTTAATGTGAGAAATTAGCATGTTAATGTAAGATCGGAGAGTGGTGTTTAATAGTCATCAACATCAGTATCATCAGTGCCACCAACCACCACCATCATCATCAGTGGCAGCAGCACCAACATAATTCACAAAGTGTAATCATCAGCAATAGCATCACGGCAATAAACATGGCCATCATCATCGTTAGCGCCATCATGAACATTGGCAACTTTTAGATTTGAAGCTTTCGTGACTGCAAGGATTCATATTCTTAGGTTTTTTCGGTAAAGTCACATCTTCAGGTGGAACCGTCACAGCCACGACAGCTGTATCATTTACTTGATACAGCTGTCGTGGCTGTGAAGACGGAAGCTTGTGTTGCCTCCGAAACGTCGTGATTTTTATTTTTTTATTTTACTTTTATTAATTTTAATTTTAATCTTTTACCTACGTGACTTTACCGAAAAAACCTAAGAATATTGGCAACTTTGTTATTTTCTTTTAACCCATCTAGGTGACTTTGCCGAATGACCCCAAAGAATATGAATTCCATGCAGTCACGATAGCCTTAAGTCAAGATTAGCAAGTGACTGGTCCTGGCCATAGGAAGATGGAATGTAACACAAAAGTCTTTATTGGTTTGATCACAATCACCGATACGCGTGACGTTACCGTCGCGTTAGCGAATCATCGTCGAAGCCAACTAAGCTGCTGCTCTAAGATCGATTATAGACAAAGTTGAGCTCGTCCTGACCACGCCCACCATCCCACTGACCACGCCCACCAACCCACTCACTCTGACCCCCCCCTCCGATCACGCCCACTGCCCACCACCAACAACCGCCATTCGCCACTAAGTGGCGGTGACGTTACCACGACGCTCGTGCCAGGCCATGTGCACCTTGAGGCTGCCACGTGAAGTGTCGAACGCCCGCTGGCAGGAGGTCACGGGGCAGACCCAGCAGGTGCCACGGGTCGACTGACCGAGATGACCGAGATGACTGGCTGATGCACCACCTGTGCCCCCTACTGTGCCAACTTGCTGTGCTTTAGCCACCCGGCGCTCCGCTCGTTGTTGTGAGCGTCGCTCCTCCGCCCTTCGTTGTTGTTGGAGGGCGACTGCTTCCAACTGCCCAGTAGCGTCCTTCACGAGCCTCCTCCACAGAGGCCGATCTAGACACCGCTGGTATCGGTCATCGGCAAGTCCACTCAGCTCCACGTCCTCCTGTACCACATCACTCCATCTCTTCTCTGCCCACCACTACAATGACCCCACCCATTACCCCACTAACCCCGCCCACCACCTGCACTGACCCCGTGTGGCCAAAATGAAATAGGAAGAGGATGCGACGTTAGGGGGCGGGGCTTAGACAGGAAGTGACTGGGGGGGGGGGTGGGACTTGTGGAGTTAGGGGGCGGGGCTTAGACAGGGAGAGACTGGGGGGGGTGGGGCTTGTGGAGTTAGGGGGCGGGGCTTAGACAGGAAGTGACTGGGGGGGTGGGACTTGTGGAGGTAGGGGGCGGGGCTTAGACAGGAAGAGACTGGGGGGGTGGGACTTGTGGAGTTAGGGGGCGGGGCTTAGACAGGAAGAGACTGAGGGGGGTGGGACTTGTGGAGGTAGGGGGCGGGGCTTAGACAGGAAGAGACTGGGGGGGTGGGACTTGTGGAGTTAGGGGGCGGGGCTTAGACAGGAAGAGACTGAGGGGGGTGGGACTTGTGGAGTTAGGGGGCGGGGCTTAGACAGGAAGAGACTGGGGGGGGGGGACTTGTGGAGTTAGGGGGCGGGGCTTAGACAGGGAGAGACTGGGGGGGGGGTGGGACTTGGTGAGTTAGGGGGCGGGGCTTAGACAGGGAGAGACGGGGGGGGGTGGGGCTTGTGGAGCTAGGGGGCGGGGCATAGACAGGAAGAGACTGGGGGGGTGGGGCTTGTGGAGTTAGGGGGTGGAGCTTAGACAGGAAGAGACTGGGGGGGTGGGGCTTGTGGAGTTAGGGGGCGGGGCTTAGACAGGAAGAGACTGGGGGGGTGGGGCTTGTGGAGTTAGGGGGCGGGGCTTAGACAGGAAGAGACTGGGGGGGGTGGGACTTGTGGAGTTAGGGGGCGGGGCTTAGACAGGAAGAGACTGGGGGGGGTGGGACTTGTGGAGCTAGGGGGCGGAGCTTAGACAGGAAGTGACTGGGGGGGTGGGACTTGTGGAGTTAGGGGGCGGGGCTTAGACAGGAAGAGACTGGGGGGGTGGGGCTTGTGGAGTTAGGGGGCGGGGCTTAGACAGGAAGAGACTGGGGGGGGGGCTTGTGGAATTAGGGGGCGGGGCTTAGACAGGAAGAGACTGGGGGGGTGGGACTTGTGGAGTTAGGGGGTGGGGCTTAGACAGGAAGAGACTGGGGGGGTGGGACTTGTGGAGTTAGGGGGCGGAGCTTAGACAGGAAGTGACTGGGGGGGTGGGACTTGTGGAGTTAGGGGGCGGGGCTTAGACAGGAAGTGACTGGGGGGGTGGGACTTGTGGAGTTAGGGGGCGGGGCTTAGACAGGAAGTGACTGGGGGGGTGGGACTTGTGGAGTTAGGGGGCGGGGCTTAGACAGGAAGTGACTGGGGGGGTGGGACTTGTGGAGTTAGGGGGCGGGGCTTAGACAGGAAAAGACTAGGGGGGTGGGGCTTGTGGAGTTAGGGGGCGGGGCTTAGACAGGAAGTGACTGGGGGGTGGGGCTTGTGGAGTTAGGGGGCGGGGCTTAGACAGGAAGAGGACTGGGTGGGTGGGGCTTGTGGAGTTAGGGGGCGGGGCTTAGACAGGAAGAGACTGGGGGGGTGTGACTTGTGGAGTTAGGGGGTGGAGCTTAGACAGGAAGTGACTGAGGGGGTGGGGCTTGTGGAGTTAGGGGGCGGGGCTTAGACAGGAAGAGACTGGGGGGGTGGGACTTGTGGAGTTAGGGGGCGGGGCTTAGACAGGAAGAGACTTGGGGGGGTGGGGCTTGTGGAGTTAGGGGGCCTGGCTTAGACAGGAAGAGACTGAGGGGGTGGGACTTGTGGAGTTAGGGGGCGGGGCTTAGACAGGAAGAGACTGAGGGGGTGGGACTTGTGGAGTTAGGGGGCGGGGCTTAGACAGGAAGTGACTGGGGGGGTGGGACTTGTGGAGTTAGGGGGCGGGGCTTAGACAGGAAGTGACTGGGGGGTGGGGCTTGTGGAGTTAGGGGGCGGGGCTTAGACAGGGAGAGACTGGGGGGGTGGGACTTGTGGAGTTAGGGGGCAGGGCTTAGACAGGAAGAGACTGGGGGGGGTGGGGCTTGTGGAGTTAAGGGGGCGGGGCTTAGACAGGAAGTGACTGGGGGGGTGGGGCTTGTGGAGTTAGGGGGCGGGGCTTAGACAGGAAGAGACTGAGGGGTGGGGCTTGTGGAGTTAGGGGGCGGGGCTTAGACAGGAAGTGACTGGGGGGGTGGGGCTTGTGGAGTTAGGGGGCGGGGCTTAGACAGGAAGAGACTGGGGGGGGCTTGTGGAGTTAGGGGGCGGGGCTTAGACAGGAAGTGACTGGGGGGGTGGGACTTGTGGATTTAGGGGGCGGGGCTTAGACAGGAAGAGACTAGGGGGGTGGGGCTTGTGGAGTTAGGGGGCGGGGCTTAGACAGGAAGTGACTGGGGGGGTGGGGCTTGTGGAGTTAGGGGGCGGGGCTTAGACAGGAAGAGACTGGGGGGTGGGGCTTGTGGAGTTAGGGGGCGGGGCTTAGACAGGAAGAGACTGGGGGGGTGGGGCTTGTGGAGTTAGGGGGCGGGGCTTAGACAGGAAGTGACTGGGGGGGGGGGGCTTGTGGAGTTAGGGGGCGGGGCTTAGACAGGAAGTGACTGGGGTGGGGCTTGTGGAGTTAGGGGGCGGGGCTTAGACAGGAAGTGACTGGGGGGGGTGGGGCTTGTGGAGTTAGGGGGCGGGGCTTAGACAGGAAGAGACTGGGGGGGGCTTGTGGAGTTAGGGGGCGGGGCTTAGACAGGAAGTGACTGGGGGGGTGGGGCTTGTGGAGTTAGGGGGCGGGGCTTAGACAGGAAGAGACTGGGGGGGTGGGGCTTGTGGAGTTAGGGGGCGGGGCTTAGACAGGAAGAGACTGGGGGGGTGGGGCTTGTGGAGTTAGGGGGCGGGGCTTAGACAGGAAGTGACTGGGGGGGGGGCTTGTGGAGTTAGGGGGCGGGGCTTAGACAGGAAGTGACTGGGGGGGGGGCTTGTGGAGTTAGGGGGCGGGGCTTAGACAGGAAGAGACTGGGGGGGTGGGGCTTGTGGAGTTAGGGGGCGGGGCTTAGACAGGAAGAGACTGGGGGGGAGGGGCTTGTGGAGTTAGGGGGCGGGGCTTAGACAGGAAGAGACTGGGGGGGTGGGGCTTGTGGAGTTAGGGGCGGGGCTTAGACAGGAAGTGACTGGGGGGTGGGGCTTGTGGAGTTAGGGGGCGGGGCTTAGACAGGAAGTGACTGGGGGGGGGCTTGTGGAGTTAGGGGGCGGGGCTTAGACAGGAAGTGACTGGAGGGGGGGCTTGTGGAGTTAGGGGGCGGAGCTTAACCACAGGCCAACGAGTTTTCAAATCAAATTCCTCTATATAGTGAGTTCAGCATAATCTCATCATCATCGTCATCAATGTTACCATCATTATTATTATTGTGCGTGTGCGAATTGAATGAACGCGAATTGGCGTAACAGCCTTCGTCGATTTGTGTTTATCGTTGCGTATGGCACTAAGTGTGGTGCTCTAATGGATCTCTATGGATCTCTATGTATCTCTATGTATCTCTGTGTGACTATGTATCTCTGTGTATCTCTATGTGACTCTGTGTCTATATGTATCTCTACATGACTCTATGTAGCTCTATGTATCTCTACGTGTCTCTATGTATCTCTATGTATCTCTGTGTATCTCTACGTGTCTCTATGTATCTCTATGTATCTCTGTGTATATCTACGTGTTTCTATGGGTCTCTATGTATCTCTACCTATCTCTATATCTCTACGTGTCTCTATGTATCTCTACGTGTCTCTATGTATCTCTATGTGTATTTATGGATCTCTACGTGTCTCTATGCATCACTATGGATCTCTATGTATCTCTATTGGTTTCTATGTATCTCTATGTGTCTCGATGGATCTCTATTGGTTTATATGTATCTCTATGTATCTCTACGTGTCCCTATGCATCTCTATTGGTCTCTATGTATCTCTACGGGTCTCTTTGTATCTCTACGGGTCTCTACGTATCTCTGTGTGACTCTCTCTATGGCGTAATTCACGAGTCCATGACACGATCCGGAGTCTTGCGGACGCACGTGAAAGTGAAGTCACCGCCCGGAGGGGTGGGAAGGAAGGGGGAGAGGGGGGGATCACCCCCCTTTGTGACGTCACGACCACGTGCCCTTTGTGACGTCACGGGGGGTGGGGTAGCACGGGGTCACTTGACGTCGCAGTTGAGCCAGTACTTGGCGATGGAGCGTGGGTAGGGCGGAGAGGCACGCTCCACTCGACGGCTGGACAGGTCAACGCGGTAGTAGGAGTCTGCCCCACGCACACACAAGGAGGGGACAGGTTGTAGGATATTTCTCTTCTTGGTACTTTCGGTAAAGTCACGTAGAAGGGAAGTAATAAAATAATAAAAATAAAACAAAGAAATAAAATTAATCTTCTTGGTTCTTTCGGTAAAGTCATGACGTAGAAGGGAAGTAATAAAATAATAAAAATATAACATAATAAAATAAAATTCATCTTCTTGGTTCTTTCGGTAAAGTCACGTAGAAGGGAAGTAATAAAATAATAAAAATAAAACAATGCAATAAAATTCATCTTCTTGGTTCTTTCGGTAAAGTTACGTAGAAGGGAAATAATAAAATAATAAAAATAAAACAATGAAATAAAATTCATGTTCTTGGTTTGTTCGGTAAAGTCACGTAGAAGGGAAGTAATAAAATAATAAAAATAAAACATAATAAAATAATTCTCACGACATTTCGGCCACAACGCAAGCAGCCGTCCTCAGGTGAAAACCAGGTCTGTCGGGGAGACAGAGTCTGAGGACGGCTGCTTGCGTTGTGGCCGAAACGTCGTGAGAATTATTTTATTGTGTTTTATTTTTATTATTTTATTACTTCCCTTCTACGTGACTTTACCGAAAGAACCAAGAAGATGAATCCCTGCAGTCACGAAAGCTTTAAATCGAAAATTGTAGGATATTCTTTGGACTTTCGGTAAAGTCAAGTAGATAGGTTCAAAGAAAATGACAAAAATAACACATTTGTTGTTTTTGTTATTGCCGAAAAAACCCAAGAATATTCTACTTTAGATCCCCCGTATAGCCTTAACAGACTGTAGGGGCAAGTGCTGTTAGCGAGCACCTATGAAGGCAGGAACAGTACACGAGGGGGTCAATGGCCATCACCACGCCCGACCGCCTTTGTCTCCCCAGTGGCGATGTTTACACACCGCACCAGGTACTCATTTCAGGCTGAGTCGACCTAGGGGAGGTCCGTGACCGGTTCAGATAATCGTCACTGGTGTTGGCCGTGAGCGGGAATCGAACCCGTGTCGCTGGGTTCATAGCGCAGTGCGCTAACCACTACACTACCGCTCCCCACTAACACACACGGGGGGGGGGGGGGAGGGGGGTACAGTTAGTAGGATTCTTGCCCACGCACAACAGGAGGTGCGTGGGAAGGACTAAAAACTCAAGGCAACAACGACAAGCAGTTATAATGAGATGAGTATTCAATTTGGTATAGTGGTGTAGTGTATAGTGTAGTGTATATACACTACACTATACACTACACTACTATACACTACACTACTATACACTATACACTACACTATACACTACACTATACACTACACTACTATACACTACACTATACACTACTATACACTACACTATACACTACACTATACACTACACTATACACTACTATACACTACACTATACACTACACTATACACTACACTACTATACACTACACTATACACTACTATACACTACACTATACACTACACTATACACTACACTATACACTACACTATACACACTACACTATACACTACACTATACACTACACTATACACTACTATACACTACACTATACACTACACTATACACCACGCGACTGCACCTCCACTGTAGAAGTAGACGTCCAGGCTGGCGTGGGGGTAGGGTGACAACATGGCCGCCTCCACACGCGTGGGCACGCCGCGCCAGCTCCGTGCCGTGTCCCGCGGGTAGCACTTGTCTGTGGCAGCAGCAGCAGCGGGGGCAGCAGCAGGGGGCAGCAGTAGTAGCAGTAGTAGTACCAGTAGTAGCAGCAGCAGTGGGGGAAGCAGCAGGGGGCAGCAGTAGTAGCAGCAGTAGTACCAGTAGTAGCAGCAGCAGTAGTAGTAATAGTAGTAGCAGTAGTAGCAGTAGTAGTCGCAGCAGCAGTAGTTGCAGCAGTGGTAGTAGCAGTAGTAGTAGTAGCAGCAGTAGCAGCAGTAGTAGCAGAAGTAGTAATAGCCGTAGTAGCAGCAGTAGTAGCATCATCAGCAGTAGTAGCAGCAGCAGCAGTAGCAGCAGCAGTCGTAGCAGCAGCAGCAGTAGTAGCAAGTAGCAGCAGTAGTAGTCGCAGTAGTAGCAGCAGCAGTAGTAGTGTTAGCAGCAGTAGTAGTAGCAGTAGAAGCAGCAGTGGTAGTAGCAGCAAGTAGTATTAGCAGCAGTAGTAGCAGCAGCGGTAGTTGCAGCAGTGGTAGTAGCAGTAGTAGTAGTAGCAGCAGTAGCAGCAGTAATAGCAGAAGTAGTAATAGTCGTAGTAGCAGCAGTAGTAGCATCATAATCAGCAGTAGTAGCAGCAGCAGTAGCAGCAGTAGCAGCAGCAGCAGTAGTAGCATCATAATCAGCAGTAGCAGCAGCAGCAGTAGCAGCAGCAGTAGCAGCAGTAGCAGCAGCAGTAGTAGTAGCAGCAGCAGTAGTAGCAGCAGCAGCAGTAGTAGCAGCAGCAGCAGTAGCAGCAGTAGTAGTAGCAGTAGCAGCAGTAGTAGCAGCAGCAGTAGCAGCAGCAGTAGTAGTAGCAGCAGCAGTAGTAGCAGTAGCAGCAGTAGTAGTAGCAGCAGCAGTAGTAGCAGCAGCAGCAGTAGTAGCAGCAGTAGCAGCAGCAGTAGTAGTAGCAGCAGCAGTAGTAGCAGTAGCAGCAGTAGTAGTAGCAGCAGCAGTAGTAGCAGTAGCAGCAGTAGTAGTAGCAGCAGCAGTAGTAGCAGCAGCAGTAGTAGCAGTAGCAGCAGTAGTAGTAGCAGCAGCAGTAGTAGCAGTAGCAGCAGTAGTAGTAGCAGCAGCAGCAGTAGCAGCAGTAGCAGCAGCAGTAGTAGTAGCAGCAGCAGTAGCAGTAGTAGCAGCAGCAGTAGTAGCAGTAGCAGCAGTAGTAGTAGCAGCAGCAGTAGTAGCAGTCAGCAGCAGTAGTAGTAGCAGCAGCAGTAGTAGCAGCAGTAGGGGCAGCAATTCAATTTGTTTGGCCGCGTTGGGTGGTGGAGCTCTCCACAACAATAGCGGTCACCCAGGGTGGCCACCACGTGGCCTCACCCCAATAGAATCGGAACCACAGATCGCTCCGAGCACCCACACTATACACTACTACACACACAGTGTACACACACACACTCACAGTGTACACACACACACGTGTATACACACATACACACGTGTACACACACACACGTGTACACACACACACGTGTACACACACACACGTGTACACACACATACTACGTGTACACACACACACACGTGTATACACACGTGTACACACAACAACAACAACAACCGCCATTCGCCACTAAGTGGCGGTGACGTCACCACGACGATTGTGCCAGGCCAAGTGCACCTTAAGGCCACGTGAAATGTCGAACGCCCGCTGGCAGGAGGTCACGGGGCAGACCCAGGTGCCACGGGTCGACTGACCGAGATGACCGAGATGACTGGCTGATGCACCACCTGTGCCCCCTACTGTACCAACTTGCTGTGCTTTAGCCACCCGGCGCTCCGCTCGTTGTTGTGAGCGTCGCTCCTCCGCCTTCCGTTGTTGTTGGAGGGCGACTGCCTCCAACTGCCCAGTAGCGTCCTTCACGAGCCTCCTCCACTGAGGCCGATCTTGACACCGCTGGTACCAGTCATCGGCAAGTCCACTCAGCTCCACGTCCTCCTGTACCACATCACTCCGTCTCTTCTCCAGCCTGTGCCGCGCCCGTTTAGCCCCCTCGATCCGGCCGAACAAAAGCTGTTTAGGCATGCGGTGGCTGGGCATGCGGGCTACATGACCCAGCCAACGCAGCCTTGCCTGCCGGAGGAGCTCACTGATGGGACTTTGCGCAGATCTTTCAAGGATTTGTGAGCTCCTCACACAATCCAGCCTGGTTAAACCCAGGATGGATCGTAGGCAGGCCAGCCTAAATGTTTCCAACCGGCGAAGATGCTCCACTAGGGGGGTCCACGTCTCGCAAGCAGTAGAGAAGGGAGGGAATGACCGTGGCCGAGAAGACCTGAAGCTTCGTGCGGAGCGACAGACCAGGTAGCTTCCACACAGCGTTACGCAAGCGATGAAAAGATATTGCCGCTCGACTGATTCGGAGTGAGACCTCTGCTGATAAACTGGAGCCGGTCATAAGCACACTGCCCAGATATAGAAAACTCTCCACTCTCTCTACAACTACCTTATCACCAATTGAGAGTTGTGGGGGTGGAGTGTCCGATGGTACAAAATACCCAGGCAGGTGCTTAGTTTTGGTGGGGCTGATGGCAAGGCCCATCTCTAAGTGGACAAGCTCCAGGTTCAGCAGCAGCGCCTCCAACTCCTCCTCTGAGTGAGCAGCAATTACCAGATCATCGGCATACATAAAGTGGTTGTGCAATAGGGAGCCATCCCTTGACAGCACCCGGGCATCGATCCGCCTCTTATTGTATCTGTACCAGATGTAAATTCCTCCGGTACAGCTATTGAAGGCTTCACGAACTACGTGGTCGAAATAGATGTTAAATAATGTGGGAGCCAGAGGACGTCCCTGTCACACCCCAAGGTGTACAGGGAATGGTTCTGACTCCAAACCACGTAGTTTTACCCGGGCCCACTCACCATCATGAAGGTCCTTAATGATCGTGAGCAGAGGGTCAAGGACTCCGAAAGCACGAAGAACAACCCAGAGGCCTTGACCAGGTCAATAAAGCAGAGACGTAGATCTTGTTGGAATTCCCTACACCTCTGCTGTAGCAAACGGACAGAAAATATGGCGTCTGTGCAGGACCACCCTTTCCTGAAACCGCATTGGAGCTCCGCAAGCCTCTCCTCAGCGTGCCTAGCAAGGCGATGTTGAATAATCCTTGCCAGGACCTTTCCCGACACACTGAGGAGTGAGATGCCCCTGTAGTTGTTACAGTCTGTGCGGTCCCCCTTCTTAAAGAGGGAGACCACCAGGGCATCCTTCCAATCCTGCAGAACCCGTCCAGTGGTCCAGACTGTCATTATAATGTTATGTAGGGCAGTCTGTGCACAAACGCCACCCTCCCTCAGCATTTCGCTTGGGAGCAGCAGTAGTCATCAGCTAGCTGAGACCATGCCACCTTGGGTTTGAATGGGGTTCTGGGTGTACACCCACCACCGGAGTTGAAGAATGGCAGGCACATTTTACAGATGACAAGTCGATGGTCAGAGGGCAGATCAGCTCCACGGTAGGTCCTGGTGTCAAGGACATGGGCCCACATCCTCTGTTCCATCACTACGTAGCCCAGCAGATATTTTTGCTTGAACCTGGCATGCATCCATAATGTTGTGTGGATGCGCCGATGCCGGAACAGTGTGTTGGTAATTGCAAGCCCATGGGCTGAACAAAAATCTAGCGGCCTCCAACCATTGTTATTGAGCTAATCTGGCCCATGCCTTCCAATTACTCCAGACCAGGTGCCAGCATCCTGACCAACACAACAACAACAACCGCCATTCGCCACTAAGTGGCGGTGACATCACCACGACGCTTGTGCAGGCCATGTGCACCTTGAGGCCACGTGAAGTGTCAAACGCCCGCTGGCAGGAGGTCACGGGGCAGACCCAGCAGGTGCCACCGGTCGACTGACTGAGATGACGTGTACACACACACACACACACGTGTACACACAAAACAAAGATCCCCCGTATAGCCTTAACAGACTGTAGGGGCAAGTGCTGTTAGCGAGCACCTATGAAGGCCGGAATGGTACACGAAGGGGTGGGTGGCCAGCACCACGCCCGACCGCCTTTGTCTCCCCAGTGGCGATGTTTACACACCGCACCAGGTACTCATTTAAGGCTGAGTCGACCTAGGGGAGGCCCAGGACCGGTTCAGATAATCGTCACTGGTGTTGGCCGTGAGCGGGAATCGAACCCGGGTCGCCAGGTTCATAGCGCAGCGCGCTAACCGCTACACTACCGCTCCCCACACTTGTACACAAACGCACACGTGTACACACGCACCGTGTCTGGCCGAGAAGAAGCGGCTCATGAAGGCATCCCAGCCGTGGGGGGCTCCGTGCAAGTGCGCCGAGTGGGGGGCTCGCGGGCGAGGGTGCCGCCGGCACACGTGGGAGCTCGACTGCTGACGGAACGTGTACTTGTAGTACTGCCCTCCTGTAGATATAGAGTTCAAGTTCATTTATTAGGTATAGCCCTGTGAGCCATTTGGCTCTTGAATCGGGTGCAACCGCAACAAACAAAAAACAAAAACACGAACAAAAAACATCTTAAAGTGAATATGTGACTAAGTGCAAACAAAAAATCCAAGAAAAGACAGCCAAATATTGCAGAAAAAAACACCGTGTACACCAACGCTGTGTGCAAAAATCCCAGTGGGATGCAAGTCAAACAACAACCATAAGACAACTGAGATTAAAGCCATCAGTCTAACTCTGTACTACAACAAACAAACATGGCTAAACCAATACACTTTTCGAAATCAGAGAGAGATATACACAAAGAGAGGAACACCTACTTGCAGCACTGGCTTCCTGGAGAGGTAGATAGAGAGAGATAGACAAAGAGGAACACGTACTGGCACGGCTCAGCTTCCAGCTAGTGGAAAAAAAACTAAACCCAACCTGAACCATGCCAGGGCTGGCTCTGGTACGGCTCGGTTTGTAGCCAGTGGAAAAAAACAAAACCCAACCTGAGCCATGCCAGGGCTGGCCCTGGGATGGTGGCTAGGTGGGGGTGTGGGCTAGTGGGGTCTAGATGGGGTCTAGGGGGGTCTAGACGGGGCCTAGGCAGGGGGTCTAGGGGGGTCTAGGGGGGTCTGGGCAGGGGGTCTAGGGGGGGTCTAGGCAGGGGGTCTAGGTGGGTCTAGGGGGGTCGAGGCAGGGGGTCTAGGGGGGTCTAGACAGAGTCTAGATGGGGTCTAGGGGGGTCTAGAGGGGTCTGGCAGGGGGTCTAGGAGGGTCTAGGCAGGGGGTCTAGGGGGGTCTAGACGGGGTCTAGGCAGGGGGTCTAGGAGGGTCTAGGGGGGTCTAGGGGGGGTCTAGACGGAGTCTAGATGGGGTCTAGGGGGGTCTAGGGGGGTCTAGGCAGGGGGTCTAGGGGGGTCTAGGCAGGGGGTCTAGGGGGGGTCTAGACGGAGTCTAGATGGGGTCTAGGGGGGTCTAGGGGGTCTGGCAGGGGGTCTAGGGGGGTCTAGGCAGGTGGTCTAGGGGGGTCTAGACGGGGTCTAGGCAGGGGGTCTAGGGGGGATCTAGGGGGGTCTAGACGGGGTCTCGACGGGGTCTAGGGGGGTCTAGGCAGGGGGTCTAGGGGGGATCTAGGGGGGTCTAGACGGGGTCTCGACGGGGTCTAGGGGGGTCTAGGCAGGGGGTCTAGGGGGGATCTAGGGGGGTCTAGACGGGGTCTCGACGGGGTCTAGGGGGGTCTAGGCAGGGGGTCTAGGCCCTCGTGGGCTCACCCTTGAAGAAGTAGGCGTGCTCCTGAGCGTGCCGGGAGCGAGGGACGGCGAAGGCCGCGTCCGGAGCGGACGGGACCCGCGGGAATCCCCGAGAGATGCTCCGCGGGAAGCCGCGGTCGAGCACCCCGTCCGTGAAGCGCCAGTACTTGTCTCCCTGGAGCGAGCACACGGACACACAGACAGACACACAGAGACAAAGATACACACACACAGACAGACACACAGACAGACACAGAGGCAATGATAAGCACAGACAGACAGACAGACACACACAGAGGCAACGACACACACACACAGACAGACAGACATACAGACAGACACACAGACAGACACACAGACACACACACAGACAGACACACAGACACACAGACAGATACACAGACACACAGACAGACACACAGACACACACACAGACAGACACACAGACACACAGACAGACACACAGACAAAGATACACACACAGACAGACACACAAAGACACACACAGAGACAAAGACAGACGCACACAGACATTCACCAGACACAAAGGCACGCTGTCGCCTCGACAGACCTGGTTTTCACCTGAGGACGGCTGCTTGCGTTGTGGCCGAAACGTCGTGAGAATAATTTTATTGTGTTTTATTTTTATTATTTGATTACTTCCCTTCTACGTGACTTTACCGAAAGAACCAAGAAAATACATCACGTGGTTGAGCAATAGGGAGCCATCCCTTGACCGCACCCGGGGGGGGGAGGGTGGTTAGGGGGGGGGCATTGATCAGCCTCCGGACGCACGTAGGAAGCACGCAAGGATCACGTGGACCACCACCTTGAAGATGTAGGAGAGCGCCTGGCAGTTGATGCGCGTGAAGGCCGCATCCACGGGGGCCGGGACTCCCCACGCATCCTCGATGAGCCGGGGAGCGCCGGGGGCGCCTCCGGAGACGGGGAAGAGCTCCCAGACATACAGCCCTGGGGGGGGGGGGGCGGTGAGAATGGGGGGCTCTTTCGGAGATGGTAGGGGATAGGGCATAGACTCAGCACTGCTACCCATAGACTCAGCACTGCACCATAGACTCAGCACTGCACCATAGACTCAACACTGCACCATAGACTCAACACTGCACCATAGACTCAGCACTGCAACATAGACTCAACACTGCACCATAGACTCAGCACTGCACCATAGACTCAACACTACCCATAGACTCAACACTGCACCATAGACTCAACACTGCACCATATACTCAGCATTGCACCATAGACTCAGCACTGCACCATAGACACAACACTGTCCATAGACTCAACACTGCACCATAGACTCAGCACTGCACCATAGACTCAGCACTGCACCATAGACTCAACACTACCCATAGACTCAACACTGCACCATAGACTCAGCACTGCACCATATACTCAGCACTGCACCATAGACTCAGCACTGCACCATAGACACAACACTGTCCATAGACTCAACACTGCACCATAGACTCAGCACTGCACCATAGACTCAACATTGCACCATAGACTCAACACTGCACCATAGGCTCAACACTGCACCATATACTCAGCACTGCACCATAGACTCAGCACTGCACCATAGACTCAGCACTGCACCATAGACTCAGCACTGCACCATAGACTCAGCACTGCACCATAGACTCAACACTACCCATAGACTCAACACTGCACCATAGACTCAGCACTGCACCATATACTCAGCACTGCACCATAGACTCAGCACTGCACCATAGACTCAGCACTGCACCATAGACTCAGCACTGCACCATAGACTCAGCACTGCACCATAGACTCAGCACTGCACCATAGACTCAGCACTGCACCATAGACTCAGCACTGCACCATAGACTCAGCACTGCACCATAGACTCAACACTGCACCATAGACTCAGCACTGCACCATATACTCAGCACTGCACCATAGACTCACCACTGCACCATAGACACAACACTGTCCATAGACTCAACACTGCACCATAGACTCAGCACTGCACCATAGACTCAACATTGCACCATAGACTCAACACTGCCCATAGACTCAACACTGCACCATAGACTCAACACTGCACCATAGACTCAACACTGCTAAACATAGACTCAGCACTGCACCATAGACTCAACACTGCACCATAGACTCAGCACTGATGCCCATAAACTCAGCACTACCCATCGACTCAGCATTGCACCATAGACTCAACACTGAACCATAGACTCAACAGTGCACCATAGACTCAACACTGCACCATAGACTCAGCACTGCAACATAGACTCAACACTGCACCATAGACTCAGCACTGCACCATAGACTCAGCACTGCTACCCATAGACTCAGCACTGCACCATAGACTCAGCACTGCACCATAGACTCAACACTGCACCATAGACTCAACACTGCACCATAGACTCAGCACTGCAACATAGACTCAACACTGCACCATAGACTCAGCACTGCACCATAGACTCAACACTACCCATAGACTCAACACTGCACCATAGACTCAACACTGCACCATATACTCAGCACTGCACCATAGACTCAGCACTGCACCATAGACACAACACTGTCCATAGACTCAACACTGCACCATAGACTCAGCACTGCACCATAGACTCAGCACTGCACCATAGACTCAACACTACCCATAGACTCAACACTGCACCATAGACTCAGCACTGCACCATATACTCAGCACTGCACCATAGACTCAGCACTGCACCATAGACACAACACTGTCCATAGACTCAACACTGCACCATAGACTCAGCACTGCACCATAGACTCAACATTGCACCATAGACTCAACACTGCACCATAGGCTCAACACTGCACCATATACTCAGCACTGCACCATAGACTCAGCACTGCACCATAGACTCAGCACTGCACCATAGACTCAGCACTGCACCATAGACTCAGCACTGCACCATAGACTCAACACTACCCATAGACTCAACACTGCACCATAGACTCAGCACTGCACCATATACTCAGCACTGCACCATAGACTCAGCACTGCACCATAGACACAACACTGTCCATAGACTCAACACTGCACCATAGACTCAGCACTGCACCATAGACTCAACATTGCACCATAGACTCAACACTGCCCATAGACTCAACACTGCACCATAGACTCAACACTGCACCATAGACTCAACACTGCTAACCATAGACTCAGCACTGCACCATAGACTCAACACTGCACCATAGACTCAGCACTGATGCCCATAAACTCAGCACTACCCATCGACTCAGCATTGCACCATAGACTCAACACTGAACCATAGTCTCAACAGTGCACCATAGACTCAACACTGCACCATAGACTCAACAGTGCACCATAGACTCAACACTGCACCATAGACTCAACACTGCACCATAGACTCAGCACTGCACCATAGACTCAACACTGCTAACCATAGACTCAGCACTGCACCAAAGACTCAGCACTGCTACCCATAGACTCAACACTGCACCATAGACTCAGCACTGCACCATAGTCTCAGCACTGCACCATAGACTCAGCACTGCACCATAGACTCAGCACTGCACCATAGACTCAGCACTGCTAACCATAGACTCAGCACTGCACCACAGACTCAGCACTGCTACCCATAGACTCAACACTGCACCATAGACTCAACACTGCACCATAGTCTCAGCACTGCACCATAGACTCAGCACTGCTAACCATAGACTCAGCACTGCACCATAGACTCAGCACTGCACCATAGACTCAACACTGCTAACCATAGACTCAGCACTGCACCATAGACTCAGCACTGCTAACCGTAGACTCAATACTGCACCATAGACTCAGCACTGCACCATAAACTCAGCACTGCACCAAAGACTCAGCACTGCTACCCATAGACTCAACACTGCACCATAGACTCAGCACTGCACCATAGTCTCAGCACTGCACCATAGACTCAGCACTGCACCACAGACTCAGCACTGCTACCCATAGACTCAACACTGCACCATCGACTCAACACTGCACCATAGACTCAACACTGCACCATAGACTCAGCACTGCACCATAGACTCAGCACTGCACCATAGACACAACACTGTCCATAGACTCAACACTGCACCATAGACTCAGCACTGCACCATAGACTCAACATTGCACCATAGACTCAACACTGCCCATAGACTCAACACTGCACCATAGACTCAACACTGCACCATAGACTCAACACTGCACCATAGACTCAACACTGCACCATAGACTCAACACTGCTAACCATAGACTCAGCACTGCACCATAGACTCAACACTGCACCATAGACTCAGCACTGATGCCCATAAACTCAGCACTACCCATCGACTCAGCATTGCACCATAGACTCAACACTGAACCATAGACTCAACAGTGCACCATAGACTCAACACTGCACCATAGACTCAACAGTGCACCATAGACTCAACACTGCACCATAGACTCAACACTGCACCATAGACTCAGCACTGCTACCCATAGACTCAACACTGCACCATAGACTCAGCACTGCACCATAGTCTTAGCACTGCACCATAGACTCAGCACTGCTAACCATAGACTCAGCACTGCACCACAGACTCAGCACTGCTACCCATAGACTCAACACTGCACCATAGACTCAACACTGCACCATAGTCTCAGCACTGCACCATAGACTCAGCACTGCTAACCATAGACTCAGCACTGCACCATAGACTCAGCACTGCACCATAGACTCAACACTGCTAACCATAGACTCAGCACTGCACCATAGACTCAGCACTGCTAACCATAGACTCAACACTGCTAACCATAGACTCAGCACTGCACCATAGACTCAGCACTGCTAACCGTAGACTCAATACTGCACCATAGACTCAGCACTGCACCATAAACTCAGCACTGCACCAAAGACTCAGCATTGCTACCCATAGACTCAACACTGCACCATAGACTCAGCACTGCACCATAGTCTCAGCACTGCACCATAGACTCAGCACTGCACCACAGACTCAGCACTGCTACCCATAGACTCAACACTGCACCATAGACTCAACACTGCACCATAGTCTCAGCACTGCACCATAGACTCAGCACTGCACCATCGACTCAACACTGCACCATAGACTCAACACTGCACCATAGACTCAGCACTGCACCATAGACTCAGCACTGCACCATAGACTCAACACTACACCATAGTCTGAACACTGCCCATAGACTCAACACTGCACCATAGACTCAACACTGCACCATAGACTCAACACTGCACCATAGACTCAACACTGCACCATAGACTCAACACTGCACCATAGACTCAACACTGCACCATAGACTCAACACTGCACCATAGACTCAACACTGCACCATAGACTCAACACTGCCCCATAGACTCAACACTACACCATAGACTCAACACTGCACCATAGACTCAGCACTGCACCATAGACTCAGCACTGCACCATAGACTCAACACTGCTAACCATAGACTCAACACCGGGCGAGGTGGTCAAAATCTCCTAGCCCACCAGGCGAGATGGTCAACGTCTCCTAGCCCACCAGGCGAGGTAGTCAACATCTCTTAGCCCACCAGGCGAGGTAGTCAACATCTCTTAGTCCACCAGTCGAGATGGTCAACGTCTCCTAGCCCACCAAGCGAGGTAGTCAACATCTCCTAGCCCACCAGGCGAGATAGTCACGTCTCCTAGTCAACATCTCCTAGCCCACCGGGCGAGGTAGTCAACGTCTCCAGTCAAAGTCTCCTAGCCCACCGGGCGAGGTAGTCAACGTCTCCAGTCAAAGTCTCCTAGCCCACCGGGCGAGATAGTCAACATCTCCTAGTCAACATCTCCTAGCCCACGAAGCGAGGTAGTCAACATCTCCTAGTCCACCAGGCGAGGTGGTCAACGTCTCCTAGTCCACCAAGCGAGGTAGTCAACGTCTCCTAGTCCACCAAGCGAGGTAGTCAACATCTCCTAGCCCACCAGGCGAGATAGTCAACGTCTCCTAGTCCACCAAGCGAGGTAGTCAACGTCTCCTCGTCCACCAGGCGAGGTAGTCAACGTCTCCTAGTCCACCAAGCGAGGTAGTCAACATCTCCTAGTCCACCAGGCGAGGTAGTCAACGTCTCCTAGCCCACCGGGCGAGGTAGTCAACGTCTCCTCGTCCACCAGGCGAGGTAGTCAACGTCTCCTAGTCCACCAGGCGAGGTAGTCAACGTCTCCTAGCCCACCAGGCGAGGTAGTCAACGTCTCCTAGCCCACCAGGCGAGGTAGTCAACGTCTCCTAGCCCACCAGACGAGGTAGTCAACGTCTCCTAGCCCACCAGGCGAGGTAGTCAACGTCTCCTAGTCCACCAAGCGAGGTAGTCAACGTCTCCTAGTCCACCAAGCGAGGTAGTCAACATCTCCTAGCCCACCAGGCGAGATAGTCAACATCTCCTAGTCCACCAAGCGAGGTAGTCAACGTCTCCTCGTCCACCAGGCGAGATAGTCAACGTCTCCTAGTCCACCAAGCGAGGTAGTCAACGTCTCCTCGTCCACCAGGTGAGGTAGTCAACGTCTCCTAGTCCACCAGGCGAGGTAGTCAACGTCTCCTAGCCCACCGGGCGAGGTAGTCAACGTCTCCTAGTCCACCAAGCGAGGTAGTCAACGTCTCCTAGCCCACCGGGCGAGGTGGTCAACGTCTCCTAGTCCACCGGGCGAGGTGGTCAACGTCTCCTAGTCCACCAGGCGAGGTGGTCAACGTCTCCTAGTCCACCAAGCGAGGTAGTCAACGTCTCCTAGTCCACCAAGCGAGGTAGTCAACATCTCCTAGCCCACCAGGCGAGATAGTCAACGTCTCCTAGTCCACCAAGCGAGGTAGTCAACGTCTCCTCGTCCACCAGGCGAGGTAGTCAACATCTCCTAGCCCACCAGGCGAGGTAGTCAACGTCTCCTAGCCCACCAGGCGAGGTAGTCAACATCTCCTAGCCCACCAAGCGAGGTAGTCAACATCCCCTAGTCCACCAGGTGAGATAGTCAACGTCTCCTAGTCAACGTCTCCTAGTCCACCAGGCGAGATGGTCAACATCCCCTAGTCCACCAGGCGAGATGGTCAACGTCTCCTAGCCAACATCTCCTAGCCCACCAGGCGCGATGGTCAAAGTCTCCTAGCCCACCAGGCGAGGTAGGCAACGTCTGCTGGGCCCGCCGTACCGCGGAAGGCGAGCACGGTCCCGTTGGGGGTCGTCATGAAGGCGTCGAAGGCCTCTCCGCTGCACAGTTCGGCCTTGGGAGGCGAGCCGCGGGCCATGACCGTGGACCCCGTGGCCTCCCCAGGGGTTGCGGCGGCAGGCCCTGGGCCTTCCCCGTGGGGCCGCTGGGGCCCCGGTTGGGGTCCCAGGGGAGTCGAGGCCCCGTGGGGACGCTGGGAGCCGGGCCTCTGATCGATGGACTCTGAGGACGGGGGTCTCTGTGGAGGTCGAGGTTGCTGCGGTGGTTGCGGTGGTTGCGGTGGTTGCGGTCGTGGTCGTTGGTGTGGCGTTGGTGGTTCTGGTTGATGCGGTGGCGGTCTCGCAGGAACCTAGGGAGAGAGGAAGACGATTACGGTGATGGTGGTGATGGTGGTGATGATGATTGTGATGATGTTGATGGGCTAGTGTTGATGATCGTGATCACGATCATGATGGTGGTGATGATAATCGTGATGATGATGATGATGATGACGGTGACGATGATGATTGTGACGATGACAACGATGATGATGATCGTCACGACGACGATGATGACGACAATGATCGTCACGATGATTACGACGACGATGATGACGATCGTGATGACGACGACGATAACGATCATCACAACGACAATGACAACGATGATGACAACGATCATCTCGATGATTACGATGATTACGACGATGACGATGATGACGACAATGATTGTGACGATGATTACGACGACGATGATGACGTTCGTGATAACGACGACGATAACGATCGTCACAACGACGACGACGACGATGACGATGATGACGACGATCGTCGCGATGATTACGACGATTACGATGATGACGATTGTGACGACGACGACGATGATGATGATCATCACGACGACGACGACGATGATGACGACAATGATCGTCACAATGATTACGACGACGATGACGTTCATGATGACGACGACGATAACAATCGTCACAACGACGACGACGACAATGACGATGATGACGACGATCGTCGCGATGATTACGACGATTACGACGATGACGATTGTGACGACGACGACGATGATGATGATGATCGTCACGACGATTACGACGATGATGACGTCCATGACAATGATGACGATGATGACGATCGTGATGACGACGACGATAACGATCGTCACAACGATGACGACAATGACGACGATGATGACAACGATCATCTCGATGATTACGACGATTACGATGATGGCGATTGTGACGACGACGACGATAACGATCGTCACAACGACGACGACAACGACGACGATGATGACAACGATCATCTCGATGATTACGACGATTACGATGATGGCGATTGTGACGACGACGACGATGATGATGATGATGATCGTCACGACGATTACTGTGATGATGACGACGATCATCTCGATGATGACGATGATGACGACCACGAGGACGACATCCTCCGTCATCTTTACCCTGGGCGGATAGAGGCCCTCCTCAGCGGTGCCTCCTCCCAGCACCTCCTCAAAATCGTCTCCCCTCCCACCACCACCACCAGCACCACCACCACCACCAGCACCACCAGCACCACCACCAGCACCAGCCTCCCCCTCCACGCCACCCTCCTCGTGGCTGATGTCAGCCTCAGGGTGGATGATGACGCTGGTGAGGTCCTCCTCTTCCTCCTCCACCGAGGGGTCAAAGTCATCAGGGAGGTCGCCACGAGTTACTAGGGGGGGGGGGAGGGGGGGTGTGAGAGTGGTGAGGGTTAGGGTGAGGGGTGAGGGTTAGGGGTGAGTGTTAGGGGTGAGTGTTATGGGGGGGGTGTGAGAGTGGTGAGGGTTAGGGGTGAGGGGTGAGGGTTAGGGGTGAGTGTTAGGGGTGAGTGTTATGGGGGGGGTGTGAGAGTGGTGAGGGTTAGGGGTGAGGGGTGATGGTTAGGGGTGAGTGTTAGGGGTGAGTGTTATGGGGGGGGTGTGAGAGTGGTGAGGGTTAGGGGTGAGGGGTGATGGTTAGGGGTGAGTGTTAGGGGTGAGTGTTATGGGGGGGGTGTGAGAGTGGTGAGTGTTAGGGGTGAGGGGTGAGGGTTAGGGGTGAGGGTTAGGGGTGAGCGTTAGGGGTGAGGGTTAGGGGTGGGGGTTATGGGTGAGTGTTAGGGGTGAGTGTTAGGGGTGAGTGTTAGGGGTGAGGGTTAGGGGTGAGTGTTAGGGGTGAGGGTTATGGGTGAGGGTTATGGGTGAGTATTAGGGGTGAGTGTTAGGGGTGAGGGTTAGGGGTGAGGGTTAGGGGTGAGGGTTAGGGGTGAGTGTTAGGGGTGAGGGTTATGGGTGAGGGTTATGGGTGAGTATTAGGGGTGAGTGTTAGGGGTGAGTGTTAGGGGTGAGGGTTAGGGGTGAGTGTTAGGGGTGAGGGTTATGGGTGAGGGTTATGGGTGAGTATTAGGGGTGAGTGTTAGGGGTAGGGTGAGGGTTAGGGGTGAGTGTTAGGGGTGAGTGTTAGGGGTGAGGGTTATGGGTGAGTGTTAGGGGTGAGTATTAGGGGTGAGTGTTAGGGGTGAGGGTTATGGGTGAGGGTTAGGGGTGAGTGTTAGGGGTGAGGGTTAGGGGTGAGGGTTAGGGGTGAGTGTTAGGGGTGAGGGTTATGGGTGAGTATTAGGGGTGAGTGTTAGGGGTGAGGGTTATGGGCGAGGGTTAGGGGTGAGGGTTAGGGGTGAGTGTTAGGGGTGAGTGTTAGGGGTGAGGGTTAGGGGTGAGGGTTAGGGGTGAGTGTTAGGGGTGAGTGTTAGGGGTGAGTGTTGGGGGTGGGTGGGTTGTGAGAGGGGTGAGTGTTAGTGATGATTATCCGAACCGGTCCTGGGCCTCCCCTAGGTCGACTCAGCCTCAAATGAGCTACCTGGTGTAGGGGTGCGTAGTAAAACATCGCCACTGGGGAGACAAAGGCGGCCGGGCGTGGTGACGCTGGCCATCTCACACCCCCCTCGTGTGCCACAGGTGCTGCTGCTCGCTAGCAGCACTTGCCCCTGCGGCCTTGTAGCAGGCTACACGGGGGAGCTTTGTCTTTGTCGCGTACTTGTGATACAGAGGTCGTCGTAGTCCGAGCAGCAGTCCCGGCGTCCTTTGCAGTAGGGATCACAGGCGCACTCCGATTGGCTGAGGCCGGAGAACAGCGCCTCATCGCAGCGCTCCTCGCACGAGCCTGAAGTCACCACCGCTCACCAGTTACTCACCAGTTACTCACCCACTCACTCAGACACTCACTCAGACAGACACTCACCCACTCAATCAGATACTCACCACTCACACAGACACTCACCCACTCACTCAGACACTCACACACAGAGACACTCACTCACACAGACACTCACTCACACACTCACACAGACACTCACACACACAGACACACACACTCACACAGACACTCACTCACACACTCACACAGACACTCACTCACACACTAACCCACTCACACAGACACTCACTCACTCACACACACAGACACTCACTCACACACTCACTCACACAGACACTCATACACACACAGATACTCACACACACACACAGATACTCACACAAACACACACACAGACACTCACTCACACAGACACTCACTCACTCACACAGACACTCACCCACTCACACACACAGACACTCACACAGACACTCACACACTCACACACACAGATACTCACACAAACACACACACAGACACTCACTCACACACACAGACACCCACTCGCCCACCAACTCACTCACACACAAAGACACACACTCTCACTCACACAGACACCCACACACACACACACCCACCCACTCACACACACAGACACCCACTCGCCCACCAACTCACTCACACACAAAGACACACACTCTCACTCACACAGACACCCACACTCACACACAGACACTCACACACACCACAGACACTCACACACACACAGACACCCACTCACACACACAGACACTCACCCACCCGTGTTCACTGACCTGTGCGTGAGGCTTGTGCACATCCCAGGTCGCACAACGCCATCACCGCCATCACCCACATCACCCACTTCACCCCCATCGCCTTCAGCTGCTTCACTGCACGTCCTGTCCGTCCCAGCCTCTACCCGACACATAACAACACAACATTCATGTCGTCATTACACCTCCACCACCACCTCCACATCCACCACCACCTTCACATCCACCACCACCTCCACCACCATCACCTCCACCACCACCTGCACCACCACCTCCACCACCACCTCCACCACCACCACAACCTCCACCACCACCACAACCTCCACCACCTCCACCACCACCACAACCTCCACCACCAGCGCCACCACCATCACCTCCACCACCCCCACCACCACCACCACCTGCACCACCACCACCTCCACCTCCACCACCACCTCCACCTCCTCCACCTCTACCACCTCCACTACCACCACCTCCACCACCTCCACCTCCTCCACCTCTACCACCACCTCCACCACCACGTCCTTCACCACCACCTCCACCACCACCTCCACCACCACTACCTCCACAACCACCACCTCCACTACCACCTCAACCACCACCTACACCACCTCCTCCTCCACCTCCACCACCTCCACCACCACCTAGTCACACACACCTGTACACACACAAACAGACACCCAGATACCTAGTCACACACACACACACCTCGTCACACGCGCGTTCACCTCGTCTCGGAACCCGCGACCTCCTCGTGTTTCCTCTCTCACCGACTGACTTCGCACTCCGTTCCTGTTGAGCTGCACAGATTTCCTCCCCCCCACACCCCCCCACCACACCCCCCCACTTGATAGGCGCTGTTTGCCTGACCGGGTGAATGATTCACCACTGATGGTGATCGTGGTGGAGGTGGAGTCCTCTTTCTGTCTGTGTCTGTCTGTGTCTGTCTATGTCTGTGTCTGTCTGTCTCTGTCTGTCTGTGTCTGTGTCTGTCTGTCTCTGTCTGTGTCTGTCTGTCTCTGTCTGTCTCTGTCTGTCTGTGTCTCTCTGTGTCTGTGTCTGTCTGTCTCTGTCTGTCTGTCTGTCTGTGTCTGTCTGTCTGTGTCTGTCTGTGTCTATCTGTGTCTCTGGTATCGGACGGGCAACGCTGTCGTGGTCAGTGCTGTGGGGGGAGGGCCAATTCCAATTGGCCTTTCTCCTCATGGCGCTTGTGACCACCACAGTGGCTAAACGGGGGCTCTGGACGGGTGCGAAGGGCTGGTAACCGTCCCACCTTCAATTAACTTACCGTTAAACCACGACTACAACATTTAATAAATTAGCTTGTGCCGGAGGCCCCGGTGTCTATGACGTCTCCTGGCCAAACCCCATTTGGCGGAGCCAGGAGACTGAATCTTTACCCTCGGTGTTCCTCCGGAAACAAAAAAAGCCACTACGTGTGGCCACGTGGAATGTTCGAATGCTCACTGCAGAGGAGAGGCTGCCACTCCTCTGTCGGGAGCTGGACCAGTACCGCCTGGATCTCTGTGGTATTCAGGAGGTCCGGTGGACCGGCTCTGGCTCCTGCCACCATGAGGGGTGGACAGTCCTCTACTCGGAGCAGGAGACTGCCAAACAACAGGGAGTGGCTCTTCTTCTGAACTAAAGAATGAAGGGGGCGTGGGAGCGTGGCGGTGAGGTGTGGGAAGCTGTAAGCCCCAGGCTATTTTGGCCTCGCCTTCTTATCAACCAGAAACGAGGAGTGGTGATCGTAGTTACTTATGCCCCCACTGAAGACGAACATCCGTGGAGGGAAAAAGGCAAGGCCAATGAGTCAGATGCCTTCTATGACCTCCTGTCACAGGAGCTAGCTAAAGTGGCCCCTCGGGATAGAGTCATCTTGTTGGGTGACTTCAATGTCCGAGTTGGTCATGATGCTGGCACCTGGTCTGGAGTGATTAGAAGGCATGGGCCAGATCAGCTCAATAACAACGGCAGGAGGCTGCTAGATTTTTGTGCAGCCCATGGGCTTGTAATTACCAACACGCTGTTCCAGCATCGGCGCATCCACACAACATCATGGATGCATGCCGGTCCAAGAAAGAACATCTGCTGGACTACATAGTGACGGAACAGCGGATGCAGGCCCATGTCGTTGACACCAGGACCTACCGTGGAGCTGATCTGCCCACTGACCTATCGACTATGTCATCTGTAAGATGCGCCTGCCATTCTTCCACTCCGGTGGTGGGTGTACACCCAGGACCCCATTCAAACCTTTAGTGGCCTGGTCTCAGTTAGCTGATGAAAGTTGCAAGCGAGAATTTCATCATCGCTTGCGGCTGGGGTTGGCATCGTCCCCCACTCCTCCTAATGTCGAGGGGAAATGGGCGAGGTTTAGGACTGTGGCTCATGCAGCTGCTTTGGGTACGCGGTCCAGACCTCCCCAGAGACCCTGGCTGACAGAGGAGGTGTTCAAGCTGGCTGAGAAAAAGCGACAGGCCTACTCTCATTGGCTACAGCATCCCACGTCAGAGAATGAGGAGGCTTACCGCAGCCTTTGCTCGGAGGTTCGGAGAGCCGTGAGGCGCTGCAAGGATGGGTGGTGGTCGCGGGTTGCTAAGGAGATGGAGTCTGCCTCAATGGCCCGTGATCACAAATCGCTCTTTAATTCCATCACAAAAAGTAACCACAACTATTTCCATCATTAGGGGAAGGAACGGTGATCCAATCTCCGACCCCCAGGAACAGGTTTGCAGATTTGCTGAGCATTTCTTTGAGGTCCTGGGGGAGGGGACATCCCTCAGCCTGGATAACAACGTGGGACAAAGTGAGGATGACCCTGCCGAGGCTGCGGTGCCTCAAATATTGGAAAAAGTCACCCCCTGTGTGTGACTGGCTGAGGTGCCATCTGTTGAGGAAGTACTGAGGGCGATCCGGAGTCTGAGACCAGGGAAGGCACCGGGCAGAGATGATCTCCCAAGCGAAATGCTGAGGGAGGGTGGCGTTTGTGCACAGACTGCCTTACATGACATCATAACAACAGTCAGGACCACTGTACGGGTTCCTCAGGACTGGAAGGATGCCCTGGTGGTCCTCCTCTTTAAGAAGGGGGACCGCACAGACTGTAACAACTACAGGGGCATCTCACTCCTCAGTGTGCCGGGAAAGGTCCTGGCAAGGATTAATCAACATCGCCTTGCTAGGCACGCTGAGGAGAGGCTTGCGGAACCCCAATGCGGTTTCAGGAAAGGGCGGTCCTGCACGGATGCCATAGTTTCTGTTTATCTGCTACATCAGAGGTGTAGGGAATTCCAACAAGACCTACATCTCTGCTTTATTGACCTGGTCAAGGCCTATGATACCATCAGTAGGCCTGGCCTCTGGGTTGTTCTTCGTGCTTTCGGAGTCCCTGACCTTCTGCACACGATCATTAAGGACCTTCATGATGGTGAGCGGGCCCGGGTAAAACTACGTGGCCGGGAGTCAGAGCCATTCCTTTTACACCTTGGAGTGCGACAGGGATGTCCTCTGGCTCCCACATTATTTAACATCTATTTTGACCACGTAGTTCGTGAAGCCTTCAATCGCTGTACCGGGGGAATTTCCATTTGGTACAGATACAATGGGAGGCTGATCGATGCCCGGGTGCGCTCAAGGTATGGCTCCCTATTGTTCAACCACGTTATGTATGCCGATGATTTGGTAATAGCTGCTCATTCAGAAGAGGAGTTGGAGACGCTGCTGCTGAGACTGAAGCGTGCCACTAAGAGGTGGGGCCTTACCATCAGCCTGCCTGGGTATTTTGTACCATCGGACACTCCACCCTCACAACTCCCAATCGGTGATGGGGCAGTTGTAGAAAGAGTGGAGAGTTTCCCAAACCTGGGCAGTGTGCTTATGACCGGCTCCAGTTTAACAGCAGAGGTCTCACTCCGAATCAGCCGAGCGGCAATATATTTTCATCGGTTGCGTAACGCTGTGTGGAAGCTACCTGGTCTGTCGCTCCGCACGAAGCTTCAGGTCTTCTCGGCCACGGTCATTCCCTCCTTTCTCTACGCTTGCGAAACGTGGACCCCCCTAATGGAACATCTTCGCCGGTTAGAAACATTTAGGCTGGCCTGCCTACGATCCATCCTGGGTTTGACCAGGCTGGATTGTGTGAGGAGCTCACAAATCCTTGAAAGATCTGGACAAGGTCCCATCTGTGAGCTCCTCCGGCAGGCAAGGCCTAAACAGCTTTTGTTCGGCCGGATCGAGGGGGCTAAACGGAACGCGGCACGTGGCTAGAGAAGAGATGGAGTGATGTGGTACAGGAGGGCGTGGAGCTGAGTGGACTTGCCGATGACTGGTACCAGCGGTGTCAAGATCGGCCTCTGTGGTGGAGGCTCGTGAAGGACGCTACTGGGCAGTTGGAGGCAGTCGCCCTCCAACAACAACAAAAGGCGGAGGAGCGACGCTCACAACAACGAGCGGAGCGCCGAGTGGCTTAAGAACAGCAAGTTGGCACAGTAGGGGGCACAGGTGGTGCATCAGCCAGTCATCTCGGTCATCTCGGTCAGTCGACCCGTGGCACCTGGGTCTGCCCCGTGACCTCATGCCAGCGGGCGTTCGACACTTCACGTGGCCTCAAGGTGCACATGTCCTGGCACAAGCGTCGTGGTGACGTCACTGCCACTTAGGGGCGAATGGTGGTTGTTGTTGTTGTGTGAGTGTGTGAGTGAGTGTGTGTGTGTGAGTGTGTGAGTGTGTGTGTGAGTGTGTGAGTGAGTGTGTGTGTGAGTGTGTGAGTGAGTGTGTGAGTGTGTGTGAGTGTGTGTATGAGTGTGAGTCCGTGTGTGAGTGTGTGTGTGAGTGAGTGTGTGAGTGTGTGAGTGAGTGTGTGAGTGAGTGTGTGAGTGTGTGAGTGAGTGTGTGAGTGTGTGAGTGAGTGTGTGAGTGTGTCTGTGAGTGTGTGTGTGAGTGAGTGTGTGTGTGAGTGAGTGTGTGAATGAGTGTGTGAGTGAGTGTGTGAGTGTGTGAGTGAGTGTGTGAGTGTGTGAGTGAGTGTGTGAGTGTGTGTGTGAGTGTGTGTGAGTGTGTGTGAGTGTGTGTGTGAATGTGAGTGAGTGGGTAGGTGAGTGGGTGGGTGTGTGTGTGAGTGTGTGAGTGAGTGAGTGTGTGAGTGTGTGAGTGTGTGTGTGTTCACTGTCTGTGTTGACTGCAGCATTCCGTGAGTTCACGAGGTTATCACTGCAGCGGACATCAAAGCCGTGGGTGGTGGTGGTTGTGGTGGTGGTGGAGGTTGTTGTGGAGGTTGTGGTGGTGGTTGTGGTGGTGGTTGTGGTGCTGGTTGTGGTGGAGGTTGTGGTGATGGTTGTGGTGGTAGCTGTGGTGGTAGCTGTGTTTGTTGTGGTGGTGGATGTGCTGGTTGTAGTAGAGGTTGTGGTGGTGATGGTGGTGGTGGTGATGGTCGTGGTTGTGATGGTTGTGGTGGAGGTTGTGGTGGTTGTGGTGGAGGTTGTGGTGGTTGTGGTGGTGATTATAGTGTGAGGTTGTGGTGGTCGTTGTGGTGGTGGTGGTTGTGGTAGTGGTGGTTAAATGAGTGACACCAAGCTAAAGAGACCCCACATCCGTAAAAACGGATTTATTCACAGTAATTGCTAAGAATTAACAAATCAATATATATCAACGATTTAACACGTAGGCTTTCGCGACCAATGTTATTCATAATCAACGATTTTTGGGTTTAGATCGCGTTTATTTATAAATGTGTCGTAACCCTCCACCACCCGACACGGCCAATCAGTAAAAATGTGTCACGTTGACAAAGACAAATAGTTCACTGCTTTAGCCCACCGGTGTGTTGAAGCAACAACATTTACAATTTGAGTACGACGTTTCGCTGGTAATTGCAATCAGCATCATCGGGCAATTCGCCAGAATCGGGCAATTCGCCATTTTGGCGAATTGCCCGATGATGCTGATTGCAATTACCAGCGAAACGTCGTACTCAAATTGTAAATGTTGTTGCTTCAACACACCGGTGGGCTAAAGCAGTGAACTATTTGTCTTTGTCAACGTGACACTTTTTTTACTGATTGGCCGTGTCGGGTGGTGGAGGGTTACGACACATTTATAAATAAACGCGATCTAAACCCAAAAATCGTTGATTATGAATATATCAACGAGGTTGTGAAAATGGTAAAGAATCATCATTGTTAACTTGACCACCATCATCATGATTAGCATCATCACCATCATCATCAGCAGCAGCATCACCATCATCATCACCACCATCATCACCAACATCAACACCACCATCATCATCATCACCAACATCACCAACACCACCATCACCACCATCATCACCAACATCAACACCACCATCACCACCATCACCACCATCATCCCCACCATCACCACCACCATCACCACTATCAACACCACCATCATCACCGCTCACGGCCAACATCATTGACGATTACTGAACCGGTCCCGGGCCTCCCCTAGGTCGACTCAGCCTCAAATGAGTACCTGGTTCGGTGTGTAAACATCGCCGCTGGGGAGACAAAGGCGGTCGGGCGTGGTGCTGGCCACACACCCCCTCGTGTACCGTTGCGGCCTTCATAGGTGCTCGCTAACAGCACTTGCCCCTACAGGCTATATGGGGGATCTTTGTGTGTGTGTGTGTTGAACTTTTTTCGCACCTTGACGTAGACTTAATCGGAGGTGCAGGGAGGGAGGGGAGGGAGGGAAAGGACGACAGACTGGAACCGCTTGCCGCTGTGTTCGTTTAACACGTTCCTTCGGAGTGGGCAGGTAGGAACTTGGTTGGACAGCGCATTTGTGCACGACAGACAGACAACTCATACCTGGTGGGTGGCAGTGTGGAACCTGCTGTTGTTGCTACTACCTGTGTACAAGATCACGTGACTTTAGGTAGCTAGGCAGACAGCCAGGCAGCCAGCCCCCTTCACTATCGGCCCCTCCCCCTTGATTAGGCCCCTCCCATTACCCCCCTCCCTTAGGCCCCTCCCCTGACCAACCCCCCATATCCTTAGGCCCCTCCCCTGACCCCCCTCCCTTAGGCCCCTCCCCTGACCCCCCTCCCTTAGGCCCCTCCCATTACCCCCCTCCCTTAGGCCCCTCCCCTGACCAAACCCCCATATCCTTAGGCCCCTCCCCTGACCCCCCTCCCTTAGGCCCCTCCCCTGACCCCCCCCCCCCTCCCTTAGGCACCTCCCCTCTCCGTACCCGGCAGTTGGTCTCCACCAATCAAAGAGCTGTGTGCATTGTATATTTATTTATGCACGACAGACAGACAGTCAGACAGACAGACAATAAATCCCTGGTGGGCAGTTGTGGGACATTGTTCCTACCTGTTAAAAGCAGGCATGTGCAATGTCTGGCCCGCGGACCAATCACGGGCCCGCGGGCAGATTTCATACGGCCCTGCAGCTTCGGTCTTATAATGTGTTATTTATGGCTCGCCAGCTCTGTCAGAATAAATACATCATAAAACTCATGGAAATTTAAGGTGTTCTATACAGTTTGTTCAATGTTATCTGACTGAATGAAAGGCAGAATTGCGTTTCTAGAGTTGTTCCCGTCTGCCTGAGTGGCTTATATTTGGTTACATTGTCATTTTTCACTATATGCGTGGCGGCTAGAGTTCTCTCGTCCTCTGGCTTGAGATGGCTGCCACCTATGGGTCAGATGATTGTCTGGCAGCATTAAGCAATTGGTAATTAAATATTTTTAAAAAATTCCCTAAACAGAGTAAAATTTTGGAATTTTTTTCACGAAAATTAATTGTCACGCACAACGAGTCTGTTTGCAAAATGTCAGCTCGATTGGATCACGGGAAGTGGGTTAAAAAACGACCGAAAGATTTGCACGGTCGTAAGCAAGCAAGCAAGCATGCAAACACGCAAGCAAGCAAGCAAGCGGACTTAATATAAAGGATTTAATAAAGGTAATTGTGACAACGAAAATTGTTTTAGAACAGTGTGTGTATTGCCACGTAACTTTTGTGGTTAAAACAATGTCAAAAGGAACTATTGGCCCCCCGGGCATCTTCACTTTATCAAATGTGGCCCTCTTTGCAAAAAGTTTGGACACCCCTGGTTTAAAGGAATCGGTTTGTCGGTGCAGGTGACGATTTTGGAAGGTGCACAGCTCCCGGCGGCTTGCTCAGATGGGAGGAACGTTCGAGACGTCGCGTCTTCGGCGCCGTACGTAGCAGAGGTCGCAACCGGGTACCCGATACCCGTTTGCGACCCTGGTGCGGCCGGGTACGGGTAGGCCGTGAGTCACTGGTGAGTCACCGTTTGTCACTCATTTCCCAACGTCTTGTCTCTTCTCACAATTCAAGTTCCTAGAATCAACCCACCCGCGCCTGCAACATGGCTTCATCCCAGACGTCGCAATCGGGTACCCGATACCCATACCCTACCCGTACCCGGCCGGGTACGGGTAGGGTACGGGTAGGGTACGGCCGGGTAACGGGTACGGGTACCCGTTTGCGACCCTGGTGCGGCCGGGTACGGGTAAGGAATCAAAACCCGTTTGCGACCTCTGGTACGTAGCCAACCGCACTAATCGGTAGGTGCACGGGGGCAGGAAATACAACGAAACGCGACAAGGAGCAGTTCTGTGAAGCAATGAGTTTGTCAAATCTAGATGGTGGCTCCCTGATATCGGAAGAGAGAGCGTTCCAGACGGCCGCGTCTGAAAGGGCCGCAGCGATGAAACGGTGACCACCGTCTTTGTTCGATGGCCATCCAAAAGCCGCCGCCGCTGCTGCTGCTACAAGGATGACCGGGGGAGTTCGCGTGATGATGTTTCATGCTCCTTGACCGAGATCGGCGAGGGAATTGCCGTTCATTTGTGGCAAGGCGCTTTGTGTGTGTGATGGGTGTAATAGGTAACGTATCCTGATTCATGATGATTTCAATGAAGACGTTTTTAGCAGTCGCGCTAAACCTTTTAAAGGCAATATAGACAACATTACCACCTGTGTGTGTTTGTGTGTGTACCTGTGTGCTGTGCACGTGTGTATAACTGTACGTGTGTGTGTGTAGGGAGTGGTAGTGGCCTCAAGGTGCACATGGCCTGGCACAAGCGTCGTGGTGACGTCACCGCCACTTAGTGGCGAATGGCGGTTGTTGTTGTGTGTGTCTATCTGTGTGTGTGTCTATCTGTGTGTTGTGGGGAGCGGTGGGTGTAGTGGTTAGCGCTACGCTGCACTACGAACTTGGCGACCCGGGTTCGATTCCCGTCACGGCAAACACCAGTGACGATTATCTGAACCGGTCCTGGGCCTCCCCTAGGTCGACTCAGCCTCAAATGAGTACCTGGTGCGGTGTGTAAACATCGCCACTGGGGAGACAAAGGCGGCCGGGCGTGGTGCTGGCCACCCACCCCCTCAAGTGTAGCCACAGCCTTCATAGGTGGTGCTACTCGCTAAAAGCACTTGTCCCTTCAGCCCTTTTAGAGGCTACCTGGGGGAGCTTTGTCTGTGTGTGCATCATAGGCGGTGCCGCTCGCTACTAGCAGCACTTGCCCCTACAGCCCTGCTAGAGGCTACACGGGGGAGCTTTGTTTGTGTGTGCATCATAGGTGCTGCTACTCGCTACGACTAGCAGCACTTGCCCCTACAGCCCTGCTAGAGGCTACCTGGGGGAACCTTTGTCTGTGTGTGCATCATAGGTGGTGCTACTCGCTATGGCTAACAGCACTTGCCCCTACAGCCCTGCTAGAGGCTACACGGGGGAGCTTTGTCTGTGTGTCCGTCACCATTTATTTTCGTGTCGCCAAAAGAAAAACAACAACAACAAAATGGACACAAAATTTACACCGCGAAAAAAACCACCCCACACAATCCGTGACGTCAGTGAGTGTCACCGCTCGTGCGTGACGTCACTGACGTCATCGCTCGTGCGTGACGTCAGTGACGTCCGTGCCACAAAAGCCAAGATGGCAGCACAAAGAATCGAACGGAAATCGGAGATTCAACTCGAGCCACGAAACGTTTCCCTTAAAATGCAAAGAAGAAAGATTTATAAAATATTATATATATCTACATTTTATATATATAAATATTATTAATAAAACTAAATAGTAAAATGGTAACTGAAAGAAAAAATACGTTTCATTCGTGTTCATTCCTTCAGTAATTCTCTCCTCCCAAGAGCGACAGCGGTAGCTGTAGGCCTGGTCTGGGTATGTGACTGGGTATGTGACTGGGTATCTGGTTGGCTGGGTGGGTATCTGGCTGGCTGGCTAGGTATCTGGCTGGGTATCTGGTTGGTTGGCTGGGTATCTGGCTGGCTGGGTATCTGGTTGGGTATCTGGCTAGGTATCTGGTTGGCTGGGTATCTGGCTGGGTATCTGGCTGGGTGTCTGGCTGGGTATCTGGTTGGCTGGGTATCTGGCTGGGTGGGTATCTGGTTGGGTATCTGGCTAGGTATCTGGTTGGCTGGGTATCTGGCTGGGTATCTGGCTGGGTGTCTGGCTGGGTATCTGGCTGGGTATCTGGTTGGTTGGCTGGGTATCTGGCTGGCTGGGTATCTGGTTGGGTATCTGGCTGGGTGTCTGGCTGGGTATCTGGTTGGGTATCTGGCTGGCTGGGTATCTGGTTGGGTATCTGGCTGGGTGTCTGGCTGGGTATCTGGCTAGGTATCTGGCTGGCTGGGTATCTGGTTGGGTATCTGGCTGGGTGTCTGGCTGGGTATCTGGGTGGGTATCTGGCTGGTTGGCTGGGTGTCTGGCTGGCTGGGTATCTGGCTGGGTATCTGGCTGGCTGGGTATCTGGCTGGCTGGGTATCTGGCTGGCTGGGTATCTGGCTGGGTGTCTGGCTGGCTGGCTGGGTATCTGGCTGGCTGGGTATCTGGCTGGGTATCTGGTTGGCTAGCTGGGTATCTGGCTGGCTGGGTATCTGGCTGGCTGGGTATCTGGTTGGCTGGGTATCTGGCTGGGTGGGTATCTGGCTGGGTATCTGGCTGGCTGGGTATCTGGCTGGGTGGGTATCTGGCTGGCTGGGTATCTGGCTGGGTGGGTATCTGGCTGGGTATCTGGCTGGGTGGGTATCTGGCTGGCTGGGTATCTGGCTGGGTATCTGGCTGGGTATCTGGCTGGCTGGGTATCTGGCTGGGTATCTGGCTGGCTGGGTATCTGGCTGGTTGGCTATCTGGCTGGGTATCTGGCTGGCTGGGTATCTGGCTGGTTGGCTATCTGGCTGGGTATCTGGCTGGGTATCTGGTTGGTTGGCTGGGTATCTGGCTGGGTATCTGGCTGTCTGGCTGGGTATATGGCTGGCTGGCTGGGTATCTGGCAATCTGGCTGTCTATCCGGCTATCTGTCTATCCGGCTATCTGTATATCCGGCTATGTGGCTGGGAGCAGAGCGAGAGGCGCGTCCGCTTCGTCAGTAAGGGAGGTTCCCCTGGATCCAGGCGAGGGATTTCCACACGCGCTCGTAGGCGGCCGGCTGGCTGGCGCGTGAGCAGTCGGCACGGCGGCTGTCGATGCCGGTCAGGTACCATCTCCTGTCCGTGCCCAGGCAGAAGACGCCACCGCCCTGGCCCAGCTGGGGAAGGCGGGAAGGGGGACGGTGGATTGGACTTTGATGATGTTTCAAGCACCCAGGTGGGACGCCCTTTGTTCGTGCGTGTGTGTGTCTGTATGTATAGTGTGTAGTGTAGTGTATAGTGTAGTGTATAATAGTGTAGTAGTGTAGTATATAGTGTAGTATATAGTGTAGTGTATAGTGTAGTGTCTAGTAAAGTGTATAGTGTAGTGTATAGTGTAGTGTATAGTGTATAGTGTAGTGTATAGTGTGTAGTGTATAGTGTAGTGTCTAGTAAAGTGTATAGTGTAGTGTATAGTGTAGTGTATAGTGTAGTGTGTAGTGTACTGTATAGTGTAGTGTATAGTGTAGTGTATAGTATAGTGTGTAGTGTATTGTGTAGTGTATAGTGTAGTAGTGAGTAGTGTATAGTGTAGTGTGTAGTGTACTGTATAGTGTAGTGTATAGTGTAGTGTATAGTGTAGTGTATAGTATAGTGTAGTGTATAGTGTATAGTATCGTGTAGTGTATAGTAGTGTAGTGTATAGTGTATTGTATAGTGTCTAGTGTAGTGTATATTGTAGTGTAGTGTATAGTGTAGTGTATAGTGTATAGTGTAGTGTATAGTGTAGTGTATAGTGTGTAGTGTATAGTGTAGTGTATAGTATAGTGTATAGTGTAGTGTATAGTGTAGTGTATAGTATAGTATATAGTGTAGTGTATAGTGTATAGTGTAGTGTATAGTGTAGTGTATAGTGTAGTGTATAGTGTAGTGTGTAGTGTACTGTATAGTGTAGTGTATAGTAGTGTAGTAGTGTAGTATATAGTATAGTGTATAGTGTAGTGTATAGTGTAGCATTGCATTACCTGACAGCTACTGGCCCAACCCTGACGCTTGGCGGCACACATCATCGTGCGGTGGCTGAAGTTGCCCCAGGCGTTCGTGCACAGCGACTCGTTCACAAGCCGCACGTGTCCCTCAGCGGCGGGGGCTGACACAGATCCTGGGGGGTGGGGGGGGGGGTAACGATGATGTCACAGGCCTAGATGATGATGTCACAGGCCTAGATGATGATGTCACAGGCCTAGATGATGATGATGTCACAGGCCTAGATGATGATGATGTCACAGGCCTAGATGATGATGTCACAGGCCTAGATGATGATGATGTCACAGGCCTAGATGATGATGTCACAGGCCTAGATGATGATTACGTCACAGGCCTAGATGATGATGATGTCACAGACCTAGATGATGATGATGATGTCACAGGCCTAGATGATGATGTCACAGGCCTAGATGATGATGATGTCACAGGCCTAGATGATGATGATGTCACAGGCCTAGATGATGATGATGTCACAGGCCTAGATGATGATGATGTCACAGGCCTAGATGATGATGATGTCACAGGCCTAGATGATGATGATGTCACAGGCCTAGATGATGATGATGTCACAGGCCTAGATGATGATGATGTCACAGGCCTAGATGATGATGATGTCACAGGCCTAGATGATGATGTCACAGGCGTAGATGATGATGATGTCACAGGCCTAGATGATGATGATGATGTCACAGGCCTAGATGATGATGATGTCACAGGCCTAGATGATGATGATGTCACAGGCCTAGATGATGATGATGATGTCACAGGCGTAGATGATGATGATGTCACAGGCGTAGATGATGATGATGTCACAAGCCTAGATGATGATGATGTCACAGGCCTAGATGATGATGATGTCACAGGCCTAGATGATGATGTCACAGGCGTAGATGATGATGATGTCACAGGCCTAGATGATGATGTCACAGGCCTAGATGATGATGCTGTCACAGGCGTAGATGATGATGATGTCACAGGCGTAGATGATGATGTCACAGGCCTAGATGATGATGTCACAGGCCTAGATGATGATGATGTCACAGGCCTAGATGATGATGATGATGATGTCACAGGCCTAGATGATGATGTCACAGGCGTAGATGATGATGATGTCACAGGCCTAGATGATGATGATGTCACAGGCGTACTGGCCGTGACATCATCGGCATCGTCGCTAATGTTATCACACACAAACACGAAATTACGTATTCCAGTACATGATATACACACTATACATATTATAACGTACCAGCTATACACTACACACTACATGACGTACTAGCTATACACTACACACTACATGACGTACGAGCTACCCACTACACACTACTTGACGTACACTAACCTCCTAGCTATACACTATACACTACACACTACTTGACGTACACTAACGTCCTAGCTATACACTACACACTACATGACGTACACTAACGTACTAGCTATACACTACACACTACATGACGTACTAGCTACACACTATACTCTACACACTACATGACGTACTAGCTATAGACTACACACTACATGACGTACACTAACGTACTAGCTATACACTACACACTACATAACGTACTAGCTACCCACTACACACTACTTGACGTACACTAACGTCCTAGCTATACACTACACACTACATGACATACGATCTATACACTATACACTACATGACGTACGAGCTATACACTATACACTACGCACCGTCGCTGCGCCGCAAGCCCAGCGCCTGGCAGCTGCGTCCCAGCGTGGGGCTGTACTCGTGTCGAGAGGGCAGGCACACCACCCGCACCGCCGGCCCAAACGTCGCCCACCAGCCCAGCCGCAGCATGGCGACGTCGTGGGCTCCGGTTTCTGCGGAGAACTTGGGGTGGACCACGATGGACGTCACCTGCAGACGGTCGCCGGAGGCCGTGATGCTCATCCAGTTGTAGTTGTTGTTGGGGCTGAACGGATGTGCACGCGTACACACACACACATACACACACACACGTACATATACATACACACACACGTACACACGTACATACACGTACACATACACATACGTACACACACACAGACACATACACGTACATACACACAGACACACATACATACATACACACACACAAACACACACACGTACATACACACACACGTACATACACACATACACACACACGTACATACACACACACGTACATATACATACACACACGTACACACGTACATACACGTACACATACACGTACATGTACATACACATACGTACACACACACAGACACATACACGTACATACACACAGACACACATACATACACACACACAAACACACACACGTACATACACACACACGTACATACACACATACACACACACGTACATACACACACATACACACACACACACGTACATATACATACGTACACACCACATACACACATACACACACACACGTACATACACACACATGTGCATACACACATACACACACACACGTACATACACACATGTACATACACACATACACACACACACGTACATATACATACACACACACGTACACACGTACATACACGTACACATACACACACATACACACACACGTACATATACATACGTACACACCACATACACACATACACACACACACGTACATACACACACATGTACATACACATACGTACACACCACATACACATACACACGTACACACACGTACATACACATACACGTACACACACACACAGACACATACACGTACACACACACACGTACATACACACGTACATACACACGTACATACACAATTATCATATTTTGCTACTGGCAAATGAGGTTCCAATGGTGTAAACACATTTAGTAAGTCGATAACTCAGAAGAGGGACATTTAGCGAGTGATTAATGAAGACATTTAGTAAGTCGATAATTCAGAAGAGGGGCATTTAGCGAGTGATTAATGAAGACATTTAGTAAGTCGATAACTCAGAAGAGGGACATCTAGCGAGTGATTAATGGACACATTTAGTAACTCGATAACTCAGAAGAGGGACATCTAGCGAGTGATTAATGGACACATTTAGTAAGTCGATAACTCAGAAGTGGGACATTTAGCGAGTGATTAATGGACACATTTAGTAAGTCGATAACTCAGAAGAGGGACACTTAGCGTGGGATTAATGAAGACATTTAGTAAGCCGATAACTCACAAGTGGGATACTTTAGCCAGAGATTAATGAAGACATTTAGTAACTCGATAACTCAGAAAAGGGACATTTATTGAGGGATTAATTAACACATTTAGTAACTCAAGATTTCAGAAGTGGGATACTTCGCCAGGGATTAATGGACACATTTAGTAACTCGATAACTCAGAAGCGGGACACTTTGCGAGGGATTAATGGACACATTTAGTAACTCGATCATTCACAAGTGGGACACTCAGCGTTAGCGAGTGATGAACACATTTAGTAACTCGCGACATCACGAACTGGAGGTGTCCGCTAGGTGACAACAACTCTGGGGGCCGCCGTGTCGAGGCCCAGGGTCTGACCTCTCCCCCAGGCAGCTCGCCGCGGTCACGATCCACGAGTCGGACAGGAGGGAGCCGAGGCATTGCAACTGGTCCTCCAGCCTCGTGATGGTCACCTGCCAGGGCCAGGCGCTCAGGACGGACGCGTTGGCGACGCCGCAGCCTTGCGGGAGGGTGGCGGAGATCGCGTCGACAGGAGGGGGGTGGGGGGGGGGCGGTGAGTGGGGTTGGTGGGTGGGGTGGGTGGGTTTGTGAGTGGGTGAGTGGGTGTGGTGGGTGGGGTCGGTGGGGTGGGTGGGTGAGTGGGTGGGTGGGTGAGTGGGTGGGTGAGTGGGTGGGTGAGGTGGGTGTGGTGGGTGGATCGGTGGGGTGGGTGGGTGGGTGAGGGGGTGGGTGGGTGAGTGGGTGGGTGGGTGAGTGGGTGGGTGAGTGGGGTTGGTGGGTGGGTGGGGTGGGTGCAGTGGGTGGGGTGGGTTGGTGAGGGGGTGAATGGGGTGGGTGGGTGAGTGAGTGGGTGGTTGAGTGGGTGATTGGGTGAGTGGATGGGTGGGTGAGTGAGTGGGTGGGTGAGTGGGTGGGTGGGTGAGTGAGTGGGTGAGTGAGTCGGTGGGGTGGGTGGGGTGAGTGGGTATGTGAGTGGGTGGGTGAGTGAGTGAATGAGTGGGTGGGGTTGGTGGGTGGTTGGGTTTTTTTTTAACGCATTGATCTCTGCCCAACCGTCTGTAGACACGGGAGGGTCACCATCCCGTCCGCTTTCATTATTTGCCCCTCTCCCGTTCTGACGAAGTGCGTCACTACGTCATCGCGTCATCAAAACCATTCGGTAAAGACGGAAATGAAATCACGTCATCTGTGCAGGAGGTCGTGGGATCGATCCCGACCCTGACGATGCCTGCTGCTGCAGCTGTAGCACAGCCGATACATTCTTCTTCGCATTATATTTCCAAGCTTACTATTGTAATATTCTTAGGTTCTTTCGGTAAAGTCACCAGGTAGGTAAAACATTAAAATTAATAAAAGTAAAATAAAATAAAAATCACGACGTTTCGGAGGCAACACAAGCCTCCGACTTCAGGTGTGGTAGCTCTTGCAATCTCTCATTTACTTGATACAGCTGTCGTGGCTGTGACGGTTCCACCTGAAGACGGAGGCTTGTGTTGCCTCCGAAATGTCGTGATTTTTATTTTATTTTACTTTTATTAATTTGAATGTTTTACCTACCTGGTGACTTTACCGAAAAAACCTAAGAATATGAATCCTTGCAGTCACGAAAGCTTCAAATCTAGAATTACTAATGTAATGTGAGGATATATCCGGCTCACTGACGTATCACAACTCGTCAAGATGATTGGTTCTGCTGGTCCTGGTCCATAGCCAATGGGGGGAAGCCTAGGGGGCGTGGCTTTGACGTCATGGGAAGGTGACAGCTGCAAGTAGATGATTGGTTGTGCTGGCTTTGGCCTCAGCCAATGGGGAGACGAGTCAGGGGCGTGGTCCTGACGTCATGGGAAGGTGACAGCTGCAAGTAGATGATTGGTTGTGCTGGCTTTAGCCACAGCCAATGGGGAGACGAGTCAGGGGCGTGGCCCTGACGTAATGGAAAGGTGACAGCTGCAAGTAGATGATTGGTTCTGCTGGCTTTGGCCACAGCCAATGGGGGGAAGCCTAGGGGGCGTGGCTTTGACGTCATGGGAAGGTGACAGCTGCAAGTAGATGATTGGTTCTGCTGGCTTTGGCCACAGCCAATGGGGAGACGAGTCAGGGGCGTGGCCCTGACGTCATGGGAAGGTGACAGCTGCAAGTAGAGGATTGGTTCTGCTGGCTTTGGCCACAGCCAATGGGGGGAAGCCTAGGGGGCGTGGCTTTGACGTCATGGGAAGGTGACAGCTGCAAGTAGATGATTGGTTCTGCTGGCTTTGGCCACAGCCAATGGGGAGATGAGTCAGGGGCGTGGTCCCGGCAGCCTACGAGGGAGCCTGGACTATTCCATGGAGGCTAACCAGGATTGGTGGAAACGTACCACGTGACCCGGGTATTAAATAGGGGTGGAGACGAACGACACGTGGTCAGAACGGGAACGAACGGAGGAAGGGGGCCACGTGGGAATGGGGCTCTGGGTTGCCACGTGGCTGTGTGTCTTTCTCTCTATCTGTCCCTCTCACGCTGCCTGTCAGCAGCTTGAAGGAAAGCTGTAATGCAAGTTGAATAAAAGACGGATTCTAGAAGTCGCCTCAACGAGCTTTATTACACTATGTTTGTTTTCTCATTTGGACCTGATGATGGTTGCTTGTGTTGCGATCGAAACGTCGTATTCTATTATTATTTAATTGAATCTCTTTCGACGTCACTTTACCGAAAGAGCCAAAGAGTAATTCCTGCAGTCGTGAAAGCTTCGAATCAATTTCGATGTAAAGCTTTCGTGACTGCAGGGATTCATCTTCTTGGTTCTTTCTGTAAAGTCACGTAGAACAGAAATAATAAAATAATAAAAATACAACATAATAAAATAATTCTCACGACGTTTCGGCCACAACGCAAGCAGCCGTCCTCAGGTGAAGAACAGGTCTGTCGAGAAGACAGAGTCTGTTCTTCACCTGAGGACGGCTGCTTGCGTTGTGGCCGAAACGTCGTGAGAATTATTTTATTATGTTTTATTTTTATTATTTCCATTCTACGTGACTTTACCGAAAGAACCGAGAAGATATATTTGTTTTCTCATTCATTCGTACCTGATGATGGTTGCTTGTGTTGCGATTGAAACGATTGGAACGCCGTATTCTATTATTATTTAATTGAATCTCTTTCGACGTCACTTTACCGACAGAACCAAAGAGTAATTCCTGCAGTCGCGAAAGCTTCGAATCTCTAGTTTCATAGCTGATACGTGTCGAGGAACGCGGCTTTGTGTTCAAGTGAGGTGCACTCGCCGCTGTTGCGACATACTCACTTTTCGTGACGTTAATGGGATCAATCGTTAGAAAGTTCACGACGAATCCGTGTCCTGTGTAATAAACAACAACAACAACAACGACAGACAAACAAACAAAGTTAGTTAACTTCCTTTAACAAACTCGAGGTGCGAGTTTCGGGGAAGTTTTGAGGAGTCGGTAGCGGTGCGACGCATGGGAGAAGGGGGGCGCTGAGTAAGATTTGTGTAAGATTTGTGACGCTGTGCAAGATTTGTGTGAGATTTGTGACGCTGTGTAAGATCTGTGTAAGATCTGTATAAGATTTGTGTAAGATCTGTATAAGATTTGTGTAAGATCTGTATAAGAGTACGGGTAGCCGGGTATCGGGTACCCGGTTGCGACCTCTGGGAGAAGGGAAACAGGGCGGACTCCCCCCCCCCCCGCCCCCCCCGGGGTGACACCTCCCAAGGACCCCCCCCCCCCCCGTGGCCTCACCTTGAAGCCCCTGAAGAGAGTCGAGCACGAGGTGGAGTCTGTTGGAGGACGAGCGCAGGCCGGGCGGTCTCACAACGCCGCAGAACGCGCCCAGCGAGTCGCCGTTGTCGTCGTAGACGGTCAGCGACTCGTCCGCGCAGTCGGGGTCGGAAGACAAACTGCGTGCCGGTGGGAGAGCGAGGGAGTGTGGTGTGGCATGTACGAGAATGTGTGGTAAGTAGTGTGGCATGTACGATGATGTGTGGTGTAGCATGTAAGAGCACATGTGGGGTGTGTGGTGTGGCATGTAAGAGAACGTGTGGTGTAGCACGTACGAGAGTGTGTTGTGTGTAGTGTAGCATGTACGAGAATGTGTAGTGTAGCATGTACGAGAATGTGTAGTGTAGCATGCACGAGAATGTGTTGTGTGTAGTGTAGCATGCACGAGAATGTGTAGTGTAGCATGCACGAGAATGTGTGGTGTGTGGTGTAGCATGTACGAGAATGTGTGGTGTGTAGTGTAGCATGCACGAGAATGTGTAGTGTAGCATGCACAAGAATGTGTGGTGTGTAGTGTAGCATGCACGAGAATGTGTAGCGTAGCATGCACGAGAGTGTGTAGTGTGTAGTGTAGCATGCACGAGAAATGTGTTGTGTGTGGTGTAGCACGCGCGAGTATGTGTAGTGTAGCATGTACGAGTTTGTGTGGTGTGTAGTGTTGCACGTATAGAAGTGCATAGTCGTGTATAGTGTAGTGTATAGTAATCCCGTGTATAGTATATAGTACACACACAGGTGCACACACGTACTGTCGCGTATAGTCGCGTGTAGTGTATAGTGTAGCGTAGTCGTGTACCTTGTGCAGCGCGTGCCGAACTTCTAACCGCCCCATACGTGTACCTTCGATTTAAAGCTTTCGTGACTGCAGGGATTCATCTTCTTGGTTCTTTCGGTAAAGTCACGTAGAAGGGAAGTAATAAAATAATTTTATTATGTTTAATTTTTATTATTTTATTACTTCCCTTCTACGTGACTTTACCGAAATAACCAAGAAGACATACGTGTACCGTTCACCAAAGCAAAAGAACCCGTGGCCGCTACGTGGAACGTGAAGCTCGAACAACGGAGAACGGAACGGCTTGCGGAGCCCCCCCCGCCCCGCACACCCCACCCCTCCCCAATCGAGAACTCACTTGAACTGCTGGAACTTCAGCTTGACCTCGTATCTGGGGTCCACCTGAATGGTCCATCGGCACAGGGCATTCCTTTCGCCGGCCGCGGAGAAGTTTGACGAAGACAGCGATCCCTGGCCTCCGACGAACGTCTCTCTGCACGGTGACCCCACTGGTGGTGGTGGTGGAGGGTGGGGGGGTTACGACGCATTCATACTTCTGTGATGCAGATTTTATTTGTGAGGGGGTGGAGGGGGTTAGATCGCGTGAATATGTAGAAGCTGTATTCTTTGGGACTTTCGGTAAAGTCGCGTAGATAGATTTTGATGTAAAGCTTTCGTGACTGCAGGGATTCATCTCCTTGGTTCTTTCGGTAAAGTCACGTAGATAGGATCAAAGAATCTTGATTTGAGGCTTTCGTGACTGCAGGAATCCATACTCTTTGGTTCTTTTGGTAAAGTTACGTAGGTAGAAAATAAAATAAATCACGACGTTTCGGGCGCAGCACAAGCATCCGTCATCAGGTGGGAAAGCATGATGTATTCATTTTATTTTATACCTACGTGACTTTACCGAAAGAACCAAAGAGTAAGGTGCAAAGAAAATAACAAAAAATAAGAAAAAACTACGATGTTTACGTTTCGAACGCAACGCAAGTGTTCGTCATCAGGAAGAGGGGGTTAGCTTCTAAAGGTAAACTGTTTATAAAGGTTTGAAATGGGCATTGCCCAAATGTCAGCAGCCAATGTTAATTTAAGTGGTGGGCAGCGACCGCGACGGTGGTGGGTTTGCCCACCAATCAAAGGGCTGCCCAGTAAAAATCAGCATGTTAATGGAAGATCGTTGAGCGGCCTCCATGGCGGGCGCCCTGAGGTGGCCATGTTCCCGTGAGAGATTATCACGTTAATGGAGGATCGCAAAGCAAAAAAACCTCGAGCTCGGTGAGCTCGGTGGCTGTGTTCAGTTGAGAAATGTCACTTGTTAGTGTAAAATCAGATGGCCGAAAATTACAACGAACATCAGAAGGTGACCGAGCCCCCCCCCCCCTCGGCGCAGTGACGCGTTACGACGACGAACGTGGCGGTCGGCGGGAGCCTCGGCCCTTTCGCGAGTCCCGCCGGAGTTTCGCCGCCGCGTGGGAGCGATCAACGCGTCAAGCGAGTGGGCCTCGCCGCGTTATCGCAGCAAAAAAAATAATAAACAGACAGACAGACAAACAAGCCAGCGAACAAGTGCTGACGTCAGGTCACACTCGCCTCGAGGGGGGGAATGCCGTCAGGGTAAAGTGACGTCATGCCCCCCGGGGTATTTGAGGGAAGACCCGTGACGTGGACGGGGTCTTCGCCGTGAGCCAGAGGAATGAGCGTTAGGGGAGTAGGGGGCTCCGGGACAGAGGGTGGAGAGCCAGGCTAAGGGGGGCTGTTTTACCCGGCTGGCCGAATTGGCTGAACCCTCGGTCAGTGCTGTGGGAAGAGCCCGATAGCCTGGTGGGGTGTAAGGAACTCCCAGTACCCTTCCCCTGGGGAGATTAGTTAAGGACTCTGTGTTAACCCCTTCCCCCGAGTTAGGCGTAAGCCCTTAATAAACAGTTTGGCGGTAGCCCCTACACGACCGGCTTCAGTGTCCTTTTCTACAGCGCAACACAAACAAAAAAAACTCACCCCTTTGGAACCTCATTTGCCAGTAAAAAATATGATAATTGTTTTTTTACCCTTTTATCTGGCAACAAAACTGACACCTTTTTTACAAGGAGTCATGTTTGCATAGACCACAATACCTGCAGTCGTGTTTATTGTTTGCATTATGACTGCAGGTATTGTGGTCTATGCAAACATGACTCCTTGTAAAAAGGTGTCAGTTTTGTTGCCAGATAGAAGGGTAAAAAACAAATGATCAAACTCACCCCTGTAAAACGCGCTGAAGTTGCCGACGATCCCCCCCGTGTCGTACGTGGCCCTTATGGACAAGGTGTTGGAGGACGAGATGATGGGAGCGGGGACGCCATCGCAGTCGTACTTCCCCAGGAGCGGCGAGTCCATGGACGGCCCGTCGTAGACGTAGACGACCTCGGCGCCTGTCTGCAGACTTCACGCGCACGGACAGCGGAGCGCTGCTGCTGTGATACGCCCTGACGGTGGCATTGTCCTGGCGCTGGTCGCCTCTTGGCGTCGTCCTCTGGTCTGGCGCCGTTTGTGACTAGGCCAGTGGTTCTTAACCTTTTTGGAGGTACCGAACCCCACCAGTTTCACGTGCGCATTCACCGAACCCTTATTAATTGGAAAAATAAAATATGATTTTTAAAAATTCAAAACATAGGTATATGTTTTACTGGTGCACAATCATACGAGTCGGGTGTGTGTCTTAACCTCCGCCGAACCCCTGAGACTGACTCACCGAACCCCTGGGGTTCGATCGAACCCAGGTTAAGAACCACTGGACTAGGCTCTAAAGAAAGCTGTCTCTGGTGTTGTGGACCAATCAGTTTCAAAGACAATGCATCATCATCCTATACTACCAGAGCACAAATTTCGATTTAAAGCTTTCGTGACTGCAGGGATTCATCTTCTTGGTTCTTTCGGTAAAGTCATGTAGAAGGGAAATAATAAAATAATAAAAATAAAACATTCTAAAATACAATTCTCACAACGTTTCGGCCACAACGCAAGCAGCCGTCCTCAGGTGAAGAACAGGTCTGTCGGAAAGACAGCATCAGACCTGTTCTTCACCTGAGGACGGCTGCTTGTGTTGTGGCCGAAACGTCGTGAGAATTGTTTTATTATACCAGAGCATGTTTTAGTTTGCATATTCACCACAAAGTATGCGTGGCTAATGCAGTGACATGATTCCTTGCAACACGTGTCTGTTTGGTGTTTTAACATCTCAACTCATCTTTATTGCCAGACAGGGTCAAATCTATTCTTGCTTTTGCTAGTGGCAAGGAAGTTCCCATGATGTAGCTGCTCTCACCCCGAGCTCTCAATGCCCCAATAGTGGCATTGTCTTTGTGCTGTTCGCCTTTTGGCGTCCTCTAATCTAGCACTGTTTGTGACTAGGCTCTGAGGAAAGCTGTTTCTGGTGTGTAGACCAATCAGTTTGAAAGACAATGCATGATATACTACTAGAGCATGTTCACCACAAGCATACATGGTTAATGCAGTGACATGATTCCTTGCAACACGTGTCTGTTTGGTGTTTTAACATCTTAACGCAATTGTTTTCTTGCCAGAAAGGGTAAAACCTATGCTTACGTTGAGCAGAGCTCTCGTTACGACTGCGGACGCTTCAAAACTGTGAGAACGAGCGTCAAAGATTCGTCACGAATGACCTCCTCGTAAGAGAAACCGCAAAACGTCCGTGACCTTACGAATAAAAGATGGCCTCCGGAATCAAAGATGGCCGCCGAAATCAAAGATATCCGCCACCAAAAAGAGTGGTGGCCATATATATTTGTATTTTTACTCTCGGTATGTATGTTGTACGTGGCAGTTTGTCCCATGACAATGTGGCAGTTGCGTTTGTTGAACGAGCATCAAAGATTCGTCACGAATGACCTCCTCGTAAGAGAAACCACGAAATGTTCGTGACCTTACGAATAAAAGATGGCCTCCGGAATCAAGGATGGCCGCCGAAATCAAAGATATCCGCCACCAAAAAAAATAGTGGCCATATATACTTGTATTTTTACTCTCGGTATGTATGTTGTACGTGACAGTTTGTCCTATGACAATGCGGCAGTTGCATTTCTTGAAGAACACTGCGTTGTATTGAATAAAATAAGGTAAATACACTACACTATACATTACACTATACACTACATTATACACTACACTATACACTGCACTATACACTACACTATACACTACACTATACACTACTACACTATACACTGTACTATACACTACACTATACACTGTACTATACACTACACTATACACTACACCACACACTAGTGCTGTACTAGTAACAAATTGGCCACGTTCTGTGTACGTGACGCGAAACTTTACTAATTGGCTGTGTCGGGTGGTGGCGAGTTTAACGAAGCAGCATTTATTTATTTACACGATCTAACCCCAAAAAATTGGTGGCGAAAGCCTACTAAGTGTGAAACCGACGTTCGTACTTGCGCGCTCTAACCCCAAAAACAACCTCTAACATGGATGATATTGGTGGCGAAAGCCTACTAGGTGTGAAACCGAGCATGAGCACACGTGTACATTGAACCTCCATCGCCGTCGTACAAAGACCATCCGTGCTCATCGGTGGAGCGGACTCTAATAGCCCGAAACGGGTCGTGACGCGGGGGCAAACCTGGAGACCAGAGTGTGTGCACCTATCCCCCCGCCCCCCTCCGCACCACTTACCTGAACGTCTGGAAGCGAAGGATCACGGCCGTCCCCACGGGGCCGGTGATGGTCCAGAGGCAGTCACCGACGTTGGGTCTCCCGAGTAAATCGGCGAACTGGATGGTGCCGCTCGCGGCGGCGAGGTTCATGCGACAGACACCGCCTAGAGCATCGCGGGACACTTTTTAGTTACGGAGTTTCACTGAACGTATCGTAAAATGGCGGAGGACATCAGAGTCGCCGAGAGATTTATTGAAGCAGGCATCAGAGTCGCCAAGAGATTTATTGAAGTCGGCATCAGAGTCGTCAATTGAGTTGTTGAAGCCGGTAGAATGGTTTTTTTACAAATTCGCCAGGAAACGTGGTGAGATGCATGAAGATGTTCCAAAGGCGCAATTAGACGCGGCTAGCGTGAGGGCTGAAGACAAGAACGAGGGCTGGATGGCTGAAATGGCGAGATATGACGGCTGTGATGTGCGATGAGAGGATCCCAGTTTGGTTGAAGGAAAGTGTATAATGTAGTCTAAAGTAGTGTAGTGTATAGTAGTGTTGCGTATAGTAGTGTATAGCAGTGTATAGTGGTGTAGTGTTTCGTGGTGTAGTGTATAGTAGTGTAGTGTACAGTGTGGTGTATAGTCTAGTGTATTATGCAGTGTATACTGTAGTGCATAGTGTAGTGTATAGTATAGTAGTGTATAGTATATAGTAGTATCGTGCATAGTAGTGTATAGTAGTGTAGTGTTTCGTGGTGTACAGTATAGTAGTGTAGTGTATAGTAGTATCGTGCATATTAGTGTATAGTAGTGTAGTGTTTTGTGGTGTAGAGTATAGTAGTGTAGTGTATAGTAGTATCGTGCATAGTAGTGTATAGTAGTGTAGTGTTTCGTGGTGTAGAGTATAGTAGTGTAGTGTATAGTAGTATCGTGCATAGTAGTGTATAGTAGTGTAGTATTTCGTGGTGTAGAGTATAGTAGTGTAGTGTATAGTAGTATCGTGCATAGTAGTGTATAGTAGTGTAGTGTTTCATGGTGTAGAGTATAGTAGTGTAGTGTATAGTAGTATCGTGCATAGTAGTGTATAGTAGTGTAGTGTTTCGTGGTGTAGAGTATAGTAGTGTAGTGTATAGTGTAGTGTATAGTACAAGACGGTGGCGAGGCTGTTGTGTGGGGGCCGAGTGCTGGGACACGAGAAAGATGGAGGACCAAGCGATGGCGGTCGCTGAGATGAGGATGCTGCGGTGGATGTTTGGTGCGTGACAAAGCAAAGGTCAAGGCGGATGGAAAATGAAGAAGCAAGAGGAAGACTCGAGGCGGTGGAACTCACAGAGGAGACGAGAAGAGGGACGGGCTCTGGGTTGGTTCAGTCGTGCGGGAGAGGCGACAGGAACATCGCGTGGGTCAGAGGTGGCGAGCGATGCAAGTGCGAGAGGAAGAAAGGTAGAAGAGGTGGGTAGTGGGTGCGATGTGGTGAGTACAATGTGGTGGGTGCGATGAGGTGAGTGCGATGTGGTGGGTGCGATGTGGTGAGTGCGATGGGGTGGGTGCGATGTGGTGGGTGCGATGAGGTGGGTGCGATGTGGTGGGTGCGATGTGTGGGTGCGATGTGGTGGGTGCGATGAGGTGGGTGCGATGTGGTGGTGCGATGTGGTGGGTGCGATGGTGATGCGATGGGTGTGCGATGTGGTGGGTGCGATGAGGTGGGTGCGATGTGGTGGGTGCGATGTGGTGGGTGCGATGTGGTGGGTGCGATGAGGTGGGTGATGTGGTGGTGCGATGTGTGGTACGATGTGGCGGGTGCGATGTGGCGGTGGCGGGTGCGATGTGGCTGGGGTGCGATGTGGCGGGTGCGATGTGGTGTGGTGGGTGCGATGTGGCGGTGCGATGTGGCGGGTGCGATGTGGTGGGTGCAATGTGGCGGGCGCGATGTGGCGGGTGCGATGTGGCGGGTGCGATGAGGTGGGTGCGATGTGGTGGGTGCGATGTGGCGGGTGCAATGTGGTGGGTGCGATGTGGTGGGTGCGTTGTGGTGGGTGCGATGTGGTGGGTGCGATGTGGTGGGTGCGTTGTGGTGGGTGCGATGTGGTGGGTGCGATGTGGTGGGTGCGTTGTGGTGGGTGCGATGTGGTGGGTGCGATGTGGTGGGTGCGATGTGGTGGGTGCGATGTGGTGGGTGCGATGTGGTGGGTGCGATGTGGTGGGTGCGATGTGGTGGGTGCGTTGTGGTGGGTGCGATGTGGTGAGTGCGTATGGGTGGGTGCGATGTGGTGAGTGCGTTATGGTGGGTGCGATGTGGGTGGTGGTGGGTGCGATTGTAGGTGGGTGCGATGTGGTGGGTGCGATGTGGTGCGTGTGTACGATGTGGTGGGTGCGATGTGGTGGGTGCGATGTGGTGGGTACGATGAGGTGGGTGCGATGTGGTGGGTTCGATGTGGTGGGTGCGATGTGGTGGGTGCGATGTGGTGGGTGCGTTGTGGTGGGTGCGATGTGGTGGGTGCGATGTGGTGGGTGCGATGTGGTGGGTGCGATGTGGTGGGTGCGATGTGGTGGGTGCGTTGTGGTGGGTGCGATGTGGTGGGTGCGTTGTGGTGGGTGCGATGAGGTGGGTGCGATGTGGTGGGTGCGATGTGGTGGGTGCGATGTGGTGGTGCGATGTGGTGGGTGCGATGAGGTGGGTGCGATGGGGTGGGTGCGTTGTGGCGGGTGCGATGTGGTGGGTGCGATGTGGTGAGTGCGATGGGATCGTGGTGACCCAAGGAGCTTAAAGAGAGATGGCGCAGGAACAGGGCGGTGTGGAGGTCGGCAAGGAGAGCAGAGGAACTTCTCCACGTGGAGTGGGACAAACGCCTAGAGGAAGGAGTATGTGGGTCTCTGTGGAAGTCCATGGGTCGGTGTGGGGGTCCGTGGGTATCTGTACGAGTCTGTGGGTATTTGTGGGAGTCTGTAGGTATATGTATATATCTCTGGGTCTCATTGTAGGTCCGTGGGTCTCTTTGGGTGTCTGTGGGTATCTGTACGAGTCTGTGGGTCTCTGTAGAAGTCCATGGGTATCTGTAAATATCTGGGTCTCATTGTAGGTATGTGGGTCTCTGTGGGAGTCTGTGGGTCTCTGTAGAAGTCCATGGGTATCTGTACATATCTGGGTCTCATTGTAGGTCTGTGGGTCTCTGTGGGAGTCTGTGGTATTTGTGGAAGTCCATGGGTATCTGTACATATCTGGATCTCATTGTAGATCTGTGGGTCTCTGTGGGTGTCTGTGGGTATCTGTACGAGTCTGTGGGTCTCTGCAGAAGTCCATGGGTATCTGTACATATCTGGGTCTCATTGTAGGTATGTGGGTCTCTGTGGGAGTCTGTGGTATTTGTGGAAGTCCATGGGTATCTGTACATATCTGGGTCTCATTGTAGGTCTGTGGGTCTCTTTGGGTGTCTGTGGGTATCTGTACGAGTCTGTGGGTCTCTGTAGAAGTCCATGGGTATCTGTAAATATCTGGGTCTCATTGTAGGTATGTGGGTCTCTGTGGGAGTCTGTGGGTCTCTGTAGAAGTCCATGGGTATCTGTACATATCTGGGTCTCATTGTAGGTCTGTGGGTCTCTTTGGGTGTCTGTGGGTATCTGTACGAGTCTGTGGGTCTCTGCAGAAGTCCATGGGTATCTGTACATATCTGGGTCTCATTGTAGGTATGTGGGTCTCTGTGGGAGTCTGTGGTATTTGTGGAAGTCCATGGGTATCTGTACATATCTGGGTCTCATTGTAGGTATGTGGGTCTCTTTGGGTGTCTGTGGGTATCTGTACGAGTCTGTGGGTCTCTGTAGAAGTCCATGGGTATCTGTAAATATCTGGGTCTCATTGTAGGTATGTGGGTCTCTGTGGGAGTCTGTGGGTCTCTGTAGAAGTCCATGGGTATCTGTACATATCTGGGTCTCATTGTAGGTCTGTGGGTCTCTTTGGGTGTCTGTGGGTATCTGTACGAGTCTGTGGGTCTCTGAGGAAGTCCATGGGTATCTGTACATATCTGGGTCTCATTGTCGGTCTGTGGGTCTCTGTGGGAGTCTGTGGTATTTGTGGAAGTCCATGGGTATCTGTACATATCTGGATCTTTATGTAGGTCCGTTGGTCTCTGTGGGAGTCTGTGGGTATCTGTACGAGCCTGTGGGTCTCTGTAAAAGTCCATGGGTATCTGTACATCTCTGGGTCTCATTGTAGGCCTGTGGGTCTCTGTGGGAGTCTGTGGGAATTTGTGGAAGTCCATGGGTGTCTGTACATCTGTGGGTCTCTTTCTTGGTCCGTTGGTCTCTGTGGGAGTCCCTAGTTATCTGTACGAGTTTGTGGGTCTCTGTAGAAGTCCATGGGTATCAGTACATCTCTGGGTCTCATTGTAGGTCTGTGGGTCTCTGTGGGAGTCTGTGGGTATTTGTGGAAGTCCATGGGTATCTGGACATCTCTGAGTCTCCGTGCGAGGCCAAAACGTGAGAAGCCGCTTGTCAATGAAATACTCAAGCCAAGTGGACGAGTCACAGCAAGCGCTGCCTCTGCCCAGCCCACAACTTCCATTGTGCACAGACTCAGCCCAACCACCAGGGGGGGGGGAGGGGCAGTAATGGCACAGGCGTTGTGACGTCATCGCACTGCAGCCAATCAGATATGGGCGAGGTCACAATTGGGAGAGGCATGATGAGGGTGGTGGTGGGGGTTGTAATGGCGTCGTGTATATTAGTGGAATTATAATAGTAGTAGTAATAGAAGTTAGATTTGCGATGCTACAAGTCTGGCTGATCTTGTTACAAATTATCAGCGTTTAGTTACCTCTTTGTTTGCCGTAGCTGAGGGCGTAGCCAAATGAATCAGCACCCGCCGCCCCGTAGAGGTAGAGACCGAATGGCTGAGTCGCGTGTTCCACACGGAACTGCTGATTTCCAAGTCCCAAGTTCAGCTCCCCGGCCACGAACTGGAGGTCGTTTGTCCGGACCCACTGGATCTTATCGCACAGTGTCTCGTTGTTCATGACGATCCCACATTTGTCTGCATCCTTGGCGATCACGATTAACACGTTTGTAAAATCTGGTTGAGTCGCAAACAGGTACTTGTTAGAGAACTTGCTGGTCGGTATGATGTTCATCTGGAACGGGTCCATGGAATACCCTTGAGTTGTAGACCCACCCTGGCATATGTACATGACCCCTACGTTTACAGATGAGTTTATAGACAAAGTCTGGTTTGCATATACAGGTACGCTGATGCGACCGTAATTGGTCAACGCGTAGGTTGTTAAATTCCCAGCGACACTGACACTGACACTGACGCTTGCGCTTGTAGGCGAAGTGATTATGACGCTGTCGTCTGTTGACTTGATGGACACAGGGAAGACCAGGTAAGAGGAGCCCCACGTCGGTACTGGCAAAAGCTGCTCTGTCACAAAATTGCAAAAATTATGAACAGTGAGGCACCGATCTCCACTGAACACGGCCACAGGATGACTCGAGAGTACCCTGGTCCCAGTCAGAGATGATCCTTGGAACTGCACGACTTCGTTTTGTTGTAGAATGATGTTGAGTTCGTTGGAGTACGTGACACCGTTGAATGTAACATTGCTGCTCAAAAACATCTGCACCATCACGTTGTTGTAGGGACTGACTATCGCGAATTCGTTCAGGGTTATCCTACCAGATACAGGAGTGACTACGTAATATTCTGTTCCCAGCTCCTGCTCAGGGATCATCATGAATCCATCGGTCGTTGCAATTCGTTTCGACATGCCCCACACTGAGATGTCACCGTCAGAATGAACGGACACGATTTTGTTGGTGACGATGCCGTTCTCTCCGATCATTGCCGCTACCGGGATGGATACATTGCCGACGGAAAAGGGAGGCAGGAGGACGGACTGCAAGAAGTTCACCGCGGGGACCGAGACGGTGACCTGAGCGCTGCTGTCGTAGCTGGCGAAGTCCACCACAAGCGCGTCGACTACCTGCACGTAGTTCTGCATAAATGCGCCGAAGAACTGACGTCCCACACTGCTCCCGGCTCCGTTCCCTGCAAGCGGTGACGACAGCATCAGTGCAAGCGAAAGAGGTCAACTTTTGAGAATAAGGCCACGAGATCGACAGTAAAAATCACCCTTCATGTTGGTTGTTAAAGGATGACGTGAAAACAAATTTCTTGAAGCGACAAATAAAATGCGTCGTTCGCTTTTAGCGGGGTTTTATTTTTAGATGTAATCGTTTTTAACGTTTGACGCATGAAGCCATCACATCGCCACGGTGGCTACTTCGCTGAGCCTCTATCATTTGCGATTGAGAATGAGGCCACGAGGACGACCGATTGAAACAAAAAAAATTCCTCAACGCGGCAATAAGCGGGGATTAGAGAAAAAAACACTGAAAGTGCAAACGAGAGCTTAAAGTGTGCGTGGTTAATGCAGACTTTACTCCTTGCAAATGGTATCACACCTATTTGGCGTTTGACAATCCTAACGCACCTCTTGTTTTGCTATTGCCAGAGAAAAGTATAAAAACCCAATCTTATTTTTCCGCCTTTGATACTGGTGAAGTATGGGAATTGACGGCAGGAACTTCTTGACGGGTAACACACTTTTATTAAATCCTTTAGGTATCACAATACAACGTGTGGTCTTTCTTCTTCCTCCGACACACTCCACTAATCTCGTGTAAGCTCTAGGCCTCTGGCTACACCCGATACACTTGACTCGTGTAGACCCTATGCCTCTGGCTACACACAATATACTCGACTCGTGTAAGCCCTATGCCTCTGGCTACACAATACACTCGACTCGTGTAAGCCCTATGCCCTGGCTACACATAGTACATTCGGCTCGTGTAGACCTATGGCTACACCCACTACACTCGCCTCTGGGTTACACAGAGTCCCGGTCCCCTTAGGACAGCGGGGCTAGGTACCGCAGGGCTCTAGGTCTTCATCCCCGTCTTCATTCTTCGCTGGTTACACACTGCCCTTACGCCTGTGTGCATCCCCTTTTATAGCCCCTGCTCACGAGAGACGGAGCTGATGCGGCGTCGACGTGAGCGTCGTTCCTTAATGAACCAATCACGACGCACTCTCTCTACGATCCGCTTTCCCCAGCGCGTGTTAACATTACTCCACCAATCACACTGCGCTGCCACCTGATCACTCCCTCTCAGCGCGTCACCGGCCCACAGCCAATCGGTACCCCGTAACCCACGACCCCGCGCTGACCCCTGATCCTCCACCGTCAGCGCGCGTCACCACCTACACAGCCAATCATCACGCACTGTGCATACGATCCTTAATCCCAGCGCGTATCACCTCTACACTGGCACAAAGGAAAAGTTCCACACAAGTAGAGGACTTCGTGTTACATGCATGTTACACGCATGCCCCCTCCACGGGTCAAGCCTGCGCCGGATACAGCAGCAGAAGCATCGTCAGAATCAGCAAGGCAGAGCCACACCGTGCCAGTTTCTCAGCGACCAAATCGCGTCCGATGTGGAAAGAGCGAAAGCGTCGTGAGCCAGCCCCCTTGAGTCAACTCGCGCAGCCGGTCACGACCGGTTGTGACGCAATGGGGCCGGCTCGCGTACGCAAATCCTCTCCAAATGTGAGACCCGTCAAAGGTTCAAGCGTGCGGGGAACGAGTAAGCGAGCGCGGCGGTTGGGGGCGCTGTGCGGGCGGTGCGGACGTGGGGTTGAGAAACGGACGATGCGTGAGGAGGGGAAAGGTGGGGGGGGGGTTGAGATGCCTCATGCTCGATGCGGGTTAGGAGGAAGAAGAGGAGGCAGGAGGCAATTGTGGCATGGGGTAGAAAAAACCCGATTTTTCCAGCGGCAGGCATCGGGGTTTTTTCTTTAAAACAATTAAACCCGATTTTGGGCAATTAAAACCTGGTTTGACGAATACTAAACTCTGATCCAAGGCTTAGGCTGCTTCCTCGTCTGTGCTGCTATCGTACTCGGGGGGGGGGGGGGGCGTCGGCGTCTTCTTCATCATAGTTGTCGATCAACATGATCTCGTCGCCGCCGGAGACGAGCAACACGGCGCTGCTGTCATCATCAACGTTGGGGGGCCGAGAGCCGTGTGGGCACCGCTGTTGGACATCGTCGTCGGTGTTGGAAAATGGAAATCGCTCAATAAGAAATGGCGTCAATGGCGCAAATGGGCGGAAGCAGGCACGGTATCCGGCGCAAGCAGACATTGTGGCCGAAACGTCGTGAGAATTGTATTTTATACTGGTAGGAACGAAGTGAACCAGCCTACAATAGATTATATTGTCCGTCCGTCCGTCCGATTAGGTGTAGCAACATCGCCCCCTACTGCAAACACTTGGCAGGACCCTACAAAAACCTTTACACTCTGTGACGCTTTCCGGCTAAACAAGTGTAACATTCCCTTATAATTCCCTGAGATAGCTTTTAATTAAAACATTTTTTAATTCCCTGAGATAGCTTTTAATTAAAACATTTTTCCTGGCTAAACAAGTGTAACATTCCCTTATAATTCCCTGAGATAGTTTTAATTAAAACATTTAATTTAAAAATGAACTCACAGCGGCCTAAAGCCTACAGCTAGGCCTAAAGCCTAGAACTAGGCCTAAAACTCTCCCTTCGTATCGTACCCCCGCGTGTGTCAAAGGGAGTTAATGTTTAACAATGTTACATTCCCTGATGTTTTTAAATAGAAACATTTACATTTAAAGTTTTTACATTAATAATTAAAACATTTAAATTACTAATTAACTCACAGCGGCCTAAAGCCTACAGCTAGGCCTAAAGCCTAGAACTAGGCCTCAAACTCTCCCTTCGTATCGTCCGATTAGGTGTAGCAACATCGCCCCCTACTGCAAACACTTGGCAGGACCCTACTAAAACCTTTAGACTCAGTGAGGCTTTCCTGGCTAAACAAGTGTAATAATACAATATGTTTATATTCTTTGGTTATTCGTTCCTACCAGCCCACCCCGCAGGGTCCTGTTTATGTTTAATTTGTATTACTTTATTATTTCCCTTCTACGTGACTTTACCGAAAGAACCATAAAGATGAATCCCTGCAGTCACGAAAGCTTTAAATCGAAATAATAATAACAGTAGTAGTAGAAGTTAGATTTGCGATGCCACAAGTCTGGCTGATCTTGTTACAAATCCTCAGCGTTTAGTTACCTCTTAAGTTGCCGTAGCTGAGGGCGTAGCCAAATGAATCAGCTCTCGCCGCCCCATAGAGGTAGAGCTCAAACGGCTGAGTCGCGTGTTCCACCAGGAACTGTTGATTCCCACTTCCCAGGTTCAGCTCCCCGGCCACAAACTGGAGGTCCTTTGTCCGAACCCACTGGATCTTATCGCACAGCGCCTCGCTGTTGATGATGATCCCACATTTGTCTGCATCCTTGGCGATCACGATTAACACGTTTGTAAAATCTGGTTGAGTCGCAAACAGGTACTTGTTAGAGAACTTGCTGGTCGGTATGATGTTCATCTGGAACGGGTCCATGGAATACCCTTGAGTTGTTAACCCACCCTGGCATATGTACATGACCCCGACGTTTACAGACGAGTTTATAGACAAAGTCTGGTTTGCATATACAGGTACGCTGATGCGACCGTAATTGGTCAACGCGTAGGTTGTTAAATTCCCAGCGACACTGACATTGACACTGACGCTCGCGCTTGTAGGCGAGGTGATTATGACGCTGTCGTCTGTTGACTTGATGGACACAGGGAAGACCAGGTAAGAGGAGCCCCACGTCGGTACTGGCAAAAGCTGCTCTGTCACAAAATTGCAAAAATTATGAACAGTCAGGCACCGATCTCCACTGAACACAGCCACAGGTTGACTCGAAAATACCCTCGTCCCAGTCAGAGAGGATCCTTGGAACTGCACGACTTCGTTTTGTTGTAGAATGATGTTGAGTTCGTTGGAGTACGTGACACCGTTGAATGTAACATTGCTGCTCAAAAACATCTGTACCGTCACGTTGTTGTAGGGACTGACTATCGCGAATTCGTTCTGGGTTATCCTACCAGACACAGGAGTGACTACATAATATTCTGTTCCCAGCTCCTGCTCAGGGATCATCATGAATCCATCGGTAGTTGAAGGTCGTTTGGATATGCCCCACACTGAGATGTCACTGTCAGAACGAACGGACACGATTTTGTTGGTGATGATGCCGCTCTCTCCGATCATTGCCGCTACCGGGATGGATACATTGCCGACGGAGAAGGGAGGCAGGAGGACGGCCTGCGAGAAGTTCACCGCGGGGACCGAGACGGTGACCTGAGCGCTGCTGTCGTAGCTGGCGAAGTCCACCACAAGCGTGACGAGTCCCCGATCGAAGTTCTGCATAAATGCGCCGAAGAACTGACGTCCCACACTGCTCCCGGCTCCGTTCCCTGCAAACGGTGACGACAAAATCAGTGCAAGCAAAAGAGGTCAACTTTTGAGAATAAGGCCACGAGATTGACAGTAAAAATCATCCTTCATGGCGGTTGTTAAGCAGGATGGGAAGAAACAAACTCTTGAAGCGACAAATAAAAAACGGCGTTCGCTTTTAGCGGGGTTTTATTTTTCGACGTAGGCTGTCTCGGCCTCGCTGTGCGCTGCGTTGCACCGCTAGCTGAGTGGTTAACCTCGCGTCCAACAAACCCTCAGAGCCAGGATGAACATCCGACTCCAAACGTCATTTATTGAATTTAACGACGTAAAACTGGTAAGAAAACAGCACAGATACAGCATTTGTTAATACCCAGAAACACCAACACAATGAATGAACACCACAGCATCATAACATTGTCTTAGATAACATGTTTCTAAACAATAGATCCTGGATGGACCAGGCCCCTACATTACCACTGAATAACTATACAAGATCATAAGCTGCTGTGTTACTTAAAGGCACATCGTGTATTCATCACACTGCACTCAAAATGTACAGTATTACACATAACACTAAATTGTGGATGAGATATTTCGTCATCCTTGCTCTCAGGATCGCAATCTAGTTACTTGGGTACAAGTTTGACTCGACTTATTAAATTACAAGTAACATTCACAATAAGGAAAGTAGCAGGCTTCGTTGTTAACTAGGCCTCGTATTTATCATGACAATTTAACAGCATTACAAAGGCATTTACATCATTATAACGGTCATTCAAACATTATAACAGCATTGCCAATATTATAAGAACATAAACGAACTTACAGACAATGCTTCTTAAAGTCCCACAATGGACAATTGAGGCTGGCTTCACTGGGACGCGATGTGTGCCGCCATCTTGAATTATGTGTGTAATGGCCGACGCCTGCGTGGTTGAGCGGGAATCTTAAATCGCAACTTCCTGGTCACGTGACCAAAATTAGCATCAAAAACAGGAAATTCCTGTGTGCATATGCCGCCCCCACCCCCCATCTGCCGTGAGGCAAAACCCCTGCCGTGAGGCAGAACATATGCGTTTTTATCGCTTGACGCATAGAGTGAACACCGCACTATCATTTGCGATTGAGAATAAGGCCACGAGGGCGACCGATAAAAACAAAAAAAACAATTCCTCGCTTTACACGGCAATGAGCTGGGATTAGAAAAACAAAAAAAAACGCTTAAAGCTAAAAAACACTTTGAGCGCAAATACGCGCTTAAAGTGTGGGTAGTTAATGCAGACCTCACTCCTTGCAAAAGTTATCACACCTAGACTCCAAATATACAGCGGCAGGCATCGTCATGGTCGAGATCGAACCCTCGACCTCCTGTATACCAGGCGAGGTAGTCAACATCTCCTAGCCACCGTGATGATGATGATGTGAGAGAGACGAAGACTCTCCATCTTTTCTCTTGCCCGTGCCACTCACTCACTCACCCACCCACACACTCACCCACTCACCCACTCACCCATCACTCCATCTCCTCTCTAGTCCGTGTCACTCACTCACCCACACACCCACTCACCCACTCACCCATCACTCCATCTCTTCTCTAGCCCATGCCACTCACTCACTCACCCACACACCCACTCACCCACACACTCACCCACTAACCCATCACTCCATCTCCTGATCTCCTCTCTAGTCCGTGTCACTCACTCACTCACTCACCCACAACAACACAACAACAACCGCCATTCGCCACGAGGTGGCGGTGACGTCACCATCGCAATCATTGAAGATTTGGTCCAACAAGGACTGAATGCTGATGTACCGGCCCTGGTTAGACACTGCCTCACCAACACTTACTTCACCTGGAATGGAACATTCTACAAACAAGTTGAAGGTACCCCAATGGGTTCTCCCTTATCTTCAGTTGCAGCCAATGTTTTCATGGAAAATTTTGAGACAGATGCCATCCAGGCATCCACCCTACGTCCTTCCTTGTGGAAGAGATACGTAGATGAAACATTCGTCATCTGGCCACATGGCCTACCATGAGTATGGGTCTGTGTGGGTCTCTGTGGGTCTGTATGGGTCTCTGAGTGTGGGTCTCTGTGGGTCTCTGTATGGGTCTCTATGAGTATGGGTCTCTGGGTCTCTGTGGGTATGTGTGGGTCTCTGAGTGTGGGTCTCTGTGGGTCTCTGTATGGGTCTCTATGAGTATGGGTCTCTGGGTCTCTGTGGGTATGTGTGGGTCTCTGAGTGTGGGTCTCTGTGGTTCTCTGTATGGGTCTCTATGAGTATGGGTCTGTGTGGGTCTCTGTGGGTCTCTGTATGGGTCTCTATGAGTATGGGTCTCTGGGTCTCTGTGGGTCTGTGTGGGTCTCTGTGGGTCTCTGTATGGGTCTCTATGAGTATGGGTCTCTGGGTCTCTGTGGGTCTGTGTGGGGTCTCTGTGGGTCTCTGTATGGGTCTCTATGAGTATGGGTCTCTGGATCTCTGTGGGTATGTGTGGGTCTCTGAGAGTGGGTCGCTGTGGTTCTCTGTATGGGTCTCTATGAGTATGGGTCTCTATGAGTATGGGTCTGTGTGGGTCTCTGTGGGTCTCTGTATGGGTCTCTATGAGTATGGGTCTCTGGGTCTCTGTGGGTATGTGTGGTCTCTGAGTGTGGGTCTCTGTGGGTCTCTGTATGGGTCTCTATGAGTATGGGTCTCTGGGTCTCTGTGGGTCTGTGTGGGTCTCTGTGGGTCTCTGTATGGGTCTCTATGAGTATGGGTCTCTGGGTCTCTGTGGGTCTGTGTGGGTCTCTGTGGGTCTCTGTATGGGTCTCTATGAGTATGGGTCTCTGGATCTCTGTGGGTATGTGTGGGTCTCTGAGAGTGGGTCGCTGTGGGTCTCTGTATGGGTCTCTATGAGTATGGGTCTCTGGATCTCTGTGGGTCTGTGTGGGTCTTTGAGTGTGGGTCTCTGTATGGGTCTCTATGAGTATGGGTTTCTATGAGTATAGGTCTCTATGAGTATGGGTCTGTGCATCTGTGTGGGTCTCTGTGGGTCTGTATGGTTCTCTGAGTGTGGGTCTCTGTGGGTCTCTGTGGGTCTGTGTGGGTGTCTATGAGTGTGGGTCTCTGTGAGTCTGTGTGGGTCTCTGAGTGTGAGTCTCTGTGGGTCTCTGTATGGATCTCTATGGATCTGCATTAACCACGCTGTCATAATATTTGGCTGAGGCTCTAAATGTCCACGCGATAAACCGCTCACGTTGCGGCCGCTATCGTTCGACATCGGCAAGGTCACTTATCTGATTATAAACAAAAAGACAAAAATAGAAACAGCTTTAGTGGTGGGGGGCTTTACAAAGTGCTACAAGTTAGAGATGACGAAAACAAAAAAAACTGGTTTAGTCTTTTAATTATTTATTTTGCACGCTTTTATTTAACTCACTCAGTCTGTTGTCGTTGTTGTTGTATCCTCAAATCTTTTAACTCCATTTAACCCACTTCACAATGTGGTATTGACTGCAAACTTGGTATACTTATTTCATACTGATGACAATACGATATTCTATCATAAAAAAATATTATTTATTTACATTTTTTAAAATATGTTAGTTTCGGCTTGGATCTAATTGTCCACGCTCAACTGACGTTGGCTGTAATCGCCCACGGTCCCATACATCATGGCAAGCTTCGGGCCACGTCCTGGAGTCGTGGAGTTCTCCCATACACTAAAGTACATTCATATTTACGATGTGACCATCGATCTACTTACTGCTGGATGGCTGCTATGAATCTCTACGCGATGTGCTACTTTGTTTGAGCCAATCGTTCTTGGCCAGTTAGGTTTTGCAAAAAAGCGTGTTTTAAAAAAAGTTTTTAAATATATATTTGTACTATGCATGGCGCGTGCGTTTCTGCTGAAAAGAAAAAAAAACGAGAGTCGATTTGCATGATGAAAGTAGAGACTGTTTTCATTGTTCGTGATCCGTCAACCCGGTTTTCTAGTTCCCTCATGCAAATCCACTACTTTTTTTCTTCAATAGAATCTTGGATCTTATTCCGCGAAGTTCACATAGTTTCGTGGTGGGGCCTCCCTTTGTTCGCGAGAGACAGTTCACGTAGACAAAAGGCTTCATCTGTTGGGTGTTTGAAACCTTTAACGCGTCTGGTGTAGGCCAATCAGTTTCAAAGTCAATGCATATAATGAGACTATGAGTATGGGTCTGTGCGTCTGATGGGTCTCTATGAGTTGGGTCTCTATGAGTATGAGTCTCTATGAGTATGAGTCTCTATGAGTATGAGTCTCTATGAGTAGGGTCTGTGCGTCTGTATGGGTCTCTATGAGTATGAGTCTCTATGAGTATGAGTCTCTATGAGTAGGAGTCTTTATGAGTATGAGTCTCTTATGAGTATGGGTCTGTGCGTCTGTATGGGTTCTCTATGAGTATGAGTCTCTATGAGTATGGTCTGTGCGTCTGTATGGGTCTCTATGAGTATGGGTCTGTGCGTCTGTATGGGTCTCTATGAGTATGAGTCTCTATGAGTATGGGTCTGTGCGTCTGTATGGGTCTCTATGAGTATGGGTCTCTATGAGTATGAGTCTCTATGAGTATGGGTCTGTGCGTCTGTATGGGTCTCTATGAGTATGGGTCTCTATGAGTATGAGTCTGTGCGCCTGTATGGGTCTCTATGAGTATGGGTCGGTGCGTCTGTATGGTCTATATGAGTATTGGTCTCTATGAGTATAGATCTGTGTTTGAACACCTCAACGCGTCTGGTGTAGGCCAATCAGTTTCAAAGACAATGCATTTTACGTTAGTATTGTGATTAATATCAGAGCAATGTCTGGTTAGCATGTTCACCACAAATTATGTGTGTGTTTAACGCGGAGACGTGAATCCTTGCAAAGTGATTCGTCTGTTTAGTGTTGGAACACCTGCATACACCTGGTCTAAGCCAATCAGTTTCAAAGATTATGCATTTTACGTTAACACATTCCTGCTGTGGAGGGAGCTGGTAGGAACGTTGGGTTGCTCGGTCAATGGCCAGGGTCAACAGCGGCGTGGTGTATTCCGCAAATATGGCCGACTGTGAGGGCGGGCACAATCCGGCGTGAGTAGGTTAAACGTTGAGTTTTATAAGGGCACCACGGGGTGACCAGCCCCTCCCTCCCCTCCCCACTCAGCCCCTCCCCTCCCCTCCCCACCCAGCCCCACCCTCCCCACCCAGCCCCTCCCCACCCTCCTCACCCAGCCCCTCCCCACCCTCCCCTCCCCACCCAGCCCCACCCTCCCCACATAGCCCCTTCCCCACCCTCCCCTCCCCACCCAGCCCTCCCCTCCCCACCCAGCCCCACCCTCCCCACCCAGCCCCACCCTCCCCACCCTCCCCTCTCCACCCAGCCCCACCCCTTCCATTTTTGGATGCACGACGGACGGACGGACAGAATAATCCCCTGTGGGCTGGTGTAACCAGGAGGTTACTACAGTATTATTGTGATTAATATCAGAGCAATGTCTGGTTAGCATGTTCACACAAATACTGTGTGTAGTTAATAGAAGTGCAAACTGATTCGTCTGTTCGGTCTTTGAACGCCTGAACACGATCCCTGTGTTTTATTTGGCCAGAAACTGTACAAACCCACTTATCATCATCGTGATACTCGCCAGAAACAATGTCCCACCATAATGTAGCTGCTGCTCACCCCAAGCTATAAGTGTGTACCTGTGTGTGTGTGTACATGTGTGTGTGTGCACATGTGTGTGTGTGTGCACATGTGTGTGTGTGTGCACATGTGTGTGTGTGTGCACATGTGTGTGTGTGTACACTGTGTGTGTGTGTACACTGTGTGTGTGTGTGTACACTGTGTGTGTGTGTGTGACTGTGTGTGACTGTGTGTGTGTGAGCAGCGCCACACCTATTACCATCCTTAGGGGAAAAAACGGTAATCCAATCTCTGACCCCCAGGAACAGGTTTGCAGATTTGCTGAGCATTTCTGTGAGGTCCTGGGGGAGGGGAAATCTCTCAGCCAGGAAACATCATGGCACAAAGTGGGAATGACCCTGCTGAGGCTGCGGTGCCCCAAATATTGGAGGAGGTCACCCCCGTGAGTGGCTGGCTGAGGTGCCATCTGTTGAGGAAGTACTGAAGGCGATCTGGAGTCTGAGTCCAGGAAAGGCACTGGGCAGAGATGATCTCCCAAGCGAAATGCTGAGGGAGGGTGGCGTTTGTGCACAGACTGCCCTATATGACATGATAAGGACAGTCTGGACCACTGGACGGGTTCCGCAGGATTGGAAAGATGCCCTGGTGGTTCCCCTCTTTAAGAAGGAGGACTGCACAGACTGTAACAACTACAGGGGCATCTCACTCATCAGTGTGCCGGGAAAGGTCCTGGTAAGGATTATTCAACATCGCCTTGCTAGGCACGCTGAGGAGAGGCTTGCGGAGCCCCAATGCGGTTTCAGGAAAGGGCGGTCCTGCACAGATGCCATATTTTCTATCCGTCTGCTACAGCAGAGGTGTAGGGAATTCCAACAAGACCTACATCTCTGCTTTTTTGACCTGGTCAAGGCCTATGATACCATCAGTAAGCCTGGGCTCTGGGCTGTTCTTCGTGCTTTCGGAGTCCCTGACCCTCTGCTCACGATCATTAAGGACCTTCATGATGGTGAGCGGGCCCGGGTAAAACTACATGGCCGGGAGTCAGAGCCTTTCCCTGTTCACCTTGGGGTGCGACAGGGATGTCCTCTGGCTCCCACATTATTTAACATCTATTTTGACCACGTAGTTCGTGAAGCCTTCAATAGCTGTACCGGGGGGTTTCCATTTGGTACAGATATAATGGGAGGCTGATCGACGCCCGGGTGCGATCAAGAGATGGCTCCCTATTGGTCAACCACGTTATGTATGCCGATGATTTGGTAATAGCTGCTCATTCAGAAGAGGAGTTGGAGACGCTGCTGCTGAGACTGGAGCGTGCCACGAAGAGGTGGGGCCTTACCATCAGCCCCACCAAAACTAAGCACCTGCCTGGGTATTTTGTACCATCGGACACTCCACCCCCACAACTCCCAATCGGTGATGGGGCAGTAGTGGAGAGAGTGGAGAGTTTCCCATACCTGGGCAGTGTGCTTATGACCGGCTCCAGTTTAATAGCAGAGGTCTCACTCCGAATCAGTCGAGCGGCAATATCTTTTATCGGTTGCGTAACGCTGTGTGGAAGCTACCTGGTCTGTCGCTCCGCACGAAGCTTCAGGTCTTCTCGGCCACAGTCATTCCTTCCCTTCTCTACGCTTGCGAAACGTGGACCCCCCTAATGGAGCATCTTCGCCGGTTGGAAACATTTAGGCTGGCCTGCCTACGATCCATCCTGGGTTTAACCAGGCTGGATTGTGTGAGGAGCTCACAAATTCTTGAAAGATCTGGTCAAAGTCCCATCGGTGAGCTCCTCCGGCAGGCAAGGCTGCCTTGGCTGGGTCATGTAGCCCGCATGCCCAGCCACCGCATGCCTAAACAGCTTTTGTTCGGCCGGATCGAGGGGGCTAAACGGGCGCGGCACGGGCTAGAGAAGAGATGGAGTGATGTGGTACAGGAGGACGTGGAGCTGAGTGGACTTGCCGATGAC